AAATTGAAAATTTTTTGAAAATTAGCGATTTTTAAATTTGTAATTTTTTTGGAGGTTTCCCCCATTTACGGGGAACGAGGGAATTTTTTTCAATTTTTAAGGGTAATGTCTTCGACTAGATACAATTTGTGATCTTTTGACGTATCGTTGAAAGAAATCCGTTCGGTGAGAGCTGAGAAAAAGTGGACACAAAAAAAAAAAAAAAAAAAAAACACATCTTAGTAAAACCAATACCTTCTCAGCTTCGCATCGAAGCTAAAAATCATTCTGTATATGTAAATATTTTGATGTGTTATTGCTTTTATTTAGTTTTTTTTTTTTGGGCTCACTATTAGATAAGTCTCCTGTTTAGAAGGTTAGTTATGTACATAACGAATAATTTTAACTCGGAAGTAGAATGTAACGTATATTATTATATAGTTTCTCATTAAAAAAGATCTATTCTACAAATCTGACTACCAATGGTGGATATTTGAAGTAAAATAAATATCTAAATCAATTTATAGCGTAGATAAAGGATGATAACACTTTAAGATAGTTGTAAATCAGTCGAAAAACGGACATTATCGGACAGGTCCGACACATACAAAGCCGAGTTATGAACATTGTGACAAGTTCGATTACAATAAAAATGCAATTCACATTATCTACAAAAAGTAAAGGTATTTTTCTTACATTTTGCAAACTATCACCCGACAAAGATACTTAGTTTTTCTATAACAGTAGTAGTTTGAAAAAAAATGTCATTAATAAAGATTAGCAGTTTTAAACCCAAATTCAAGTTATAATTATGAATTCCTCAACATACAAATTAATTATTTAATTACCTTTTAAATTTATAAATAATTTTAGTGAAACCGATTTATCGTTTATTCATTGTTGGTCATTTGAATTAAACCATTTAATACATTAATAATACTTTTTGTATTGGCCAAGCCAATTTGACTTCACAGTATAAAATTATATTAAGCATTCCATTAAAACTATTTCAAATGATACACATTTTAAGATATTCAAAACTACCATATATAAAATATTTTAAACTGCCACAAATAATACCACTTTACACTTATGGCTCATCTCTTGACTTAAAAGAGTATTCCTTATATTGAACATTTAAAAACTTAATCAAATTCGTTTCCAAAAGCTTTCAATAAGGTAGAAGTCAAAAAGTATTACACATATACCTTATAAACATACTCGAGAAGCAGAAGGGGTAAATCTATTGTTATAACTTTTTAGGAAAAGGAATAAAACTTTTTCCTCTTAAATGACGATAATAAAACAACTTCATTAATAACTCTGTAAATATTTATTACAAAATAAAATAAAGATAGGTAAAAATATATATGACACCAAAAAGTGAAATTTGATAAAATTGGACTTAAACCCTCCAACTTCTCAGGTAAAGATATTATGCATTAAATAATAGAATTAATAACATTATCTACATGCTACTATGAAGCTAGATATGATAAATTTTTTATGAGGTAAGAATTCTACAGTAAATACTTAGTAAAGTGATACCATTCAATACATATTTTGCTACAAGTACTATATCTATCAGTCAGAATTTAAGTTTTTAAGTAGAATTATATTATTTATTAGAAAAAGGGTATAATATAGATTTTTTTAAAAAATAAATGATTTTTTATAGTAATTTTAATTTTTACCTGGTATTACTTTAAAACATTGATTTAGATGTTAAAACTTGGTTTAGAATACAATAAAATAAAATTATTTTATAAATAAATTCAAATTATTCAATGGTAACCAATAAAAAAAAGGATTTAAACCAAAAAAAAATGTACATTTTATACAAAGAAAAATTTGAAATACAACCCTTGTTCTAATAAATTATTCAATTTTAAAAAATTAGTTTTACTGAACTCAATCAATCAAATAACTATTGAGAATAATAATAAACATGAAACAATTGATTAATTATAACTAAAATTATAATTCAAAAGTTGTCACCTTTAATGAAACAAATAGTTATTTTTTTATATATTTGTGACCTAACACGCATATAACAATGTTTTTCTTTGAATTTGTAATCACATAACATTACATATGAGAAACAGAAACTTCATTTGTTTTTCTTTTTAGTAAGTTTATTAATTTCATGAGCTTGAGAGGCACCCCAGCTGTATATTTGTTTGACTTTATTACGTCTCTCAACATCACTGAAAAATATTTAAAATTTTGTAATAACAAAATCTAAAACCCTTTATTTAAATGAAAAAATATATACTTTTTAACTTGCTCATGGTACTTCAATTTTGATAAGAAACTATTATCTTTTCTTATTTCACGAACAGCTGATTTCATTTCCCGTTTATAGCTTTTTAATAATTTTGTTCTCTCAGCTTTTTCTTTAGATTGTGTTTTAAATGTACGTCCATCAAATCTATATACCAAAAAATAGTTTTTCTTACTTAATTACTTTCAATAAAATTCAAATAATTATAGTTTTAAAAAATTTAATTACATACACTTTTTGAATTCTAGGTTCATAGAGACGAAGTGCCTTTGGTCTGTTTGATAAAGTTTGTAATTTTTCAAGTTTTTTGTTAATAATTATTTGCAATTCTTTTTTTACTTTTTCAATTTGATTTTTTAATATATCTGATTCAATCTACAAAAATATAATCATTTAATAATACAATGCATTGTGACTGTTATTAACAAAATATATACATATATAGTAAATTTCAAGATAGCTGTTTTCATTAGTTTATTGTATAATTTGAGAAATTCATCACAAAGATATAATGAGCAAAAAAAATATTATATAATTTGAACGTAAATTTACCAACTACGACAAAATAGAAAAAAAATATTAGTCATATTAACTTAAGTAATTAAGTAATTGTACGATGTTCCAATCACTATTGCCTTTTATAATTGGTTCCTGAACATATAATTTACTTACACACTTTTTGGTTATTTATTTTTTTATACCTTAATCGTTCTTTTTAAAGTTTTAATTTAACAAGATAAAGTTAACAAATTTAATGAAAACCTATAAAATGTAATATATTTTTATGTAAAACACTAGGAAGTAAAACTAAAATGAATAAAGTATAATTACATATATTGTTGAATAGTTACCTTTATTTCATTAATTATTTGTAGGTGTGGAAACCAAATTTCTCGACTACTTTGAATATTATTACACAATTGACTAAATCTAGAGACTAATTCTAGCGTAATATATAGTGATGAAAGTTTAAATACTGTATCAAAATTCGATTCATTATAAATTTCATTTATTGATAATCTTCTTGGCCAGTCAGTTGGAATATCTTTAGAGTCGATGACTAACATTTTCATAGATGGCTTAAACTGTTGTACAAAACCAACAGGAATTTCTTCTTTTACTGCTATCCCTAAGATACCTCTCAATACATTAATAACTTCTGGAATGAATCTTTTAGACAATTGAACATACTGAAAAAAATATTTTCAAATGAAATACTTATGTGAATAATTTATTGTACACAAACAAGTTTTTTTATCAATTAAAATAATTAGGCATTTTTTAACACTTTTAAGAAAAAAATATTGAATTCATTCGTAATAATAAAGCTTATTTTCATTATAAACAACTTAATAATTGGGAAATATTGATTTTTTAATGAAATCACTTCTATTTATGCATTTAAAACATCAAAATTAATAAAATATAAACAGAATAATACAAATTGAATGGCTAGTTATCTAAAACTGTTGAAGCCTTAAATAAAAAGTAATATATATAAATTAATTGATAATAGACGGAACCATCTTTCTTATAGTTTAATCAGAAAAAGCTGTAGATTATAACTTTAAATAATATTAGTAATATTTTTAAATACTAATATTGCAAGAAAATTCATATTTTATTTTTTTTATATTATTTTATAACCAAATTATTGAAAAAATAAATTAAAATTTACTGATACTCAGACACATTCGTATATCCAGGAAGGAATATACCTTGCTTGTTTTAAATTATTATTAAAACTATTAATAAAATATAAAGTACATACAAAAAAAAAAAAAATAATGATATCCACTAAGATATTTAAATTAACAGATTTTCTAATTGCATAATCAAAGAATTCATATACATACCTCTAATAATATTGTACACAATAATAATAATGAAGAGATATTTGCTCTTGTTTTGACAACACTGAGACATAACAGTTCACAAGCTATTAACACAGCATAGGTACAAACTGGATGATAATAGTCTGAAGTTGGAAACAATAAAGGGACCAATTTCAAAAATAATAGCTAAAAGATGATCAAGTCTTTATGAGAATACTAAAATTAATTTTAAAATTTTAAGATTACCATCTCTGGATTTATTATTTTTAAATTTAATCCAACAAATTCTGAGTGCTTCTCTTTTAATATTTCAACAAAACATTTTGCAGCATATTCAGGGAAAAATTGAGTCAAGTCATAAAAATGTGGTACTAATAAATTCAGTATTTTCCATCCTTCCTAAAATTCAATCAAATAAAGTGTACAATTATATGTTATTGAGTACTGATATGAATTAACTTTACCAGAGAACTGGAAGTATCATTAATATGTTGAAGTAAGAAAGTGAATAGTCGCATTAAATTTGATCTGTTATTATTTCCTAAACTTGGGTGATTGACTTTAATCATACGCTCAATAATAATATTTTGATCAGTTATTGATTTACCATCTACTATTTCTTGAAAACATTCATATTCATCAGGTACTAAAAAGTATTAATTATACATATAATTAAAGTTAAAAGAAAAATGACAATTTTAGCTTCGATGCGAAGTTGAGAAGGTATTAATTGTACTATAATCTGTTTTTTTTTGTGTCTGTTACCACTTTTTCTCAGTCTCACCGAACCGTTTCTTTCAATGATACGTCAAAAGATCACAAATTGTATCTAATTGAAAACATTACCCTCAAAAATTGAAAAAAATTTCCCTTGTTCCCCATAAATGGGGGAAATCTTCAAAAAGATTACAAATTTAAAAAACGCTAATTTTCGACATTTTTCAATTTTTTTTTACTTAAAACTGCTATAACTTTTTTAAAAATTATCAAATCAATATAATTTTTTTATGATCAGTGAGATACTTACCAATCATTTTCTATATATTTTTTTTTAATCTGACCCTTTAGAAGTCTACAGGGGGGGATTCAAAATGATAACTTTTTCAAAAATAATTAACTTTTTTAACTTAACTTTTGAAAGTGTTCCGGAAACTCTGACACTTCTATATACATATATATATCTTAAATTAATGTTTATGTAATATACATTATGAAAAAAAAAAAATTTTGGACTTTATTTTGTCCTCACGGTGAAAATGGCTACGGTATGCTATTTTTGTGTTAAAAATCTCGATTTTATATTTTACATTTTTAACTTTAAAATGCTTTAACTTTTTGAAAAATAAATGGATTAATACAATTTTTTTATGAGAAATAATATTGATATACTTCTTATATTCGATATACTTTTTTTTTAAATTAAACCATTTCTCTTAATACAGGAGGCGTTTAAAACTTAAAATCGCATATAGAAAGTAGAACTTTTTGAACTTCATTTTTGAAAGTGTTCCGAAAATACTGACACTTTTATATCTATCATAAATTAAAGCTTAAATAATATACTTTATTATGGAAAAAAAAAATTTCGGACTTCATTTTGTTTTCATGGTGAAAACGGACATAAAATTTAATAAAAAAATAAGATTTTTTGTAAAAATATTCTTTTTTATATTTTTCATTTTATAATGCTATAACTTTTTAAAAAATGTATAGATCAATACAATTTTTTCATGATAAATACTATTTATATACCTCTTTCTTTCGACATACTTTTTTTTTAAAATAAAACCATTTCCCTTTAAATATTTATATAATATAAATATATGTATATTTATAAAACTTGTAATCAGTATATAAATAAGAAAATAGGAAATCATGTAGATTTTGGAATAATCCATCAATTTTTTAAAATTAAACATTATCTATAGATTTGCATCGAAGCGTTTTTTATGATAGTGATTTTAATTACTGTCAGATATCATTATACTAAAACTCAATTAGTTTATAGCAATACCCTCTAGATTAGTTCAATCGTTTATGAAGTAATGTAGGCAAAATTTGAAGGGTTTTACTCAAGCTCTTTTGGAGCTACATTGGAGTTGAAATATATACTCAATATACAATTGAGAGTAATTTTTTTCTTTTTTGAGTTTAATTTGATTAAGTGTTACACTTAACGATAAAATATATAGAACCTCAAATATAGAACTTATTATTGCCTATAAAAAATGTCTTAACACAATTTTTCATACATCAATTATACTTTTAGAAAAATAATAAATTCATGTAAAGTTGACTTTTACACAAATTTTTGATAAAATTAATAATAATATCATATTACGTAAGAATTATTTAAAAAATCAACTATTTCATTATTGACTAAAATTAAGTAAAATAAGAAACTTGTCTTATATATTATAAAAACATAATTATTTTAAAACTCGCATAACACAATATCTACTTAAGATCAGCATTTGATTTCTAATATGTTTTTTTTAGTGTTTATCTATTACTTTGTGAATATCTATTTTGGTAATCTTGTATAGTCTAAATATTTATTGAATTTAGATCAAAATGAAAATTATTAATTTATTTACTTGCAATAAAAACTGTTTTTGTTTTTTTATCTCTATTGTATTTGTTATTATATTCCTTCTTTAACTACATTTCTCCATCTGCTATGTCATTTACTATTTTCAATGACTTTCCTTTTCTGTAATTCCAAACCACTTAAACATTCCAATTGATTTGAAATTTATCAAAAAAAATGGTAAGCCTTTTTGAAGAAAATTGGGAACATCATCTAATGTAATCGATCATTTTTTTTTTTTTTTTTAGATTAGTTTCTTCCTCATCATGTTTAAACTATTTTGTGTTTTGTATTATAATCTATACAGTCATCAAACAAGGAAAAAGTAATACATTCTGAATTTAAATACCATAAATGGTTAATTATCTTTTTTAAAGCCACGTCTGCAATTTTTTTATTTTGTAATTTATAGGCTTCTAATTTTCTAAGAAATAGTATTTCATTGAGAGGAGCTTCTATTGTGTTTGTAGAAGAAAACCAAGCTTGGATGTAACATTTGACTATAAAACAACAAATGTCTTTTAAATATATTTCTTCTCTACTGTTTAGTTTAAATTGTTCTGAAAAAAAATATTTTTAAACAAAAATTGTATTATCCATCCATCTGGCTGAATGATATGGACCAGGTTGTCAAAAAATAGTTCCCCTTGAAGGAACACCACCCAAAAATATAATTAGGAATTCCAAAAATTCTTGATGATCATCTTGAGGAAGATCTTTAATAATATTATTTTTTGTGTATAAAATAATTTCATCTGTTTCATCTTTTAAAATATTATGAACATGAGTATTAGAAACTACAATATTGTGTTTTATCAATTTTATCCCATCCCTGTTGAAATCTTTTGAATAATATTTTTGGTCCAGTTTGAAGGATATAATTTAACTAAAGAAAAAACACCCTGTAAAACAAGTTCAAAAATATGGTGTCGGCATGCTAAGAATAATATTTTTTTTTCAAAACGTTGCTCTAACAAAACACATGCCTATTTAATCTTCCCATATTAGAAGCCATAAAACAAACGTAAAAGCTTGTATTTTTTTTAATAGTAACCATTTGAAGCTTCAAAGACAGCTGATCATGCTTCTAAACCTGTCCATGTGAGTATATAATGGATTCCAAGAAGCTGTTCAATATTTAAGGCTGTTGCAATAAAAAGAAGACGATATACATTTTTTTTCCTCTAATGATAGGAAGTAGTTATATGTCCCAATGGATCACAATAAATTTTAATCATGAAATTTAGAATTAATTTTTTCTGCAATATTTTGTCAATAACTTTTATGGAACCTATTAATTGATTATTGGTTTAAAACATATATTCTGGGATCTAATGAAAAAACATCCAAACACGCAGTAAGTAAATGAATAGCATTCATCTCATCTCTTTTCTAATTGTGCTACAAGTTGATATCTACTCCCATCTTACAACTAGAACAGCCCTTAGTTTGTTAAAGTCACAAAACAATCAATATCCTCTTGAATCATGCGCAATATCAAATAAATCTTCCATTTGATCACAAAACTTTGTTCCCTTTTTCTGTATATCACTAGTCTTTATTTTATTTTTCTCCAAATTTCTTAGTTCTTCGTAGAGTTTACACTCTCAATTTAAACTAAACCAATAAATAATTGATTCAACAATAATTACAGTTTTTAAGAAATATTATTAGAACCATTTTTATATGCAAAATGTTATGCACCTACAACCACTTAGTAAATATATTACAATAACTGTAAAAAACTATTTATGCTAAATTTTGGAAATTTATTATATTTTGTATTTTTTTCAAAGTATAATTGATATATTGATTTCTACTTTGTACCACTGTAATCTGGTGTATGTAAAATATATAAACAAATACAATATTAAATTAACTAAAAACCCTTGTATCAAATAGAGTTATATAAAAAATAATAACCTCATTTGTAAATTGTATCATTTGTTATATAATTTAATTAAATTAATGCATAATCATTGAATAATACAATAAAAATAAGTTAGAAAATATATCTTAATTAACTTTAAGATAATCAGTGACTTATTTAGGAGGCTACAAAGACTAAGCTTCCAGCTATGTCAAAACAAAAATTTAGGTAAAAACTAAAAGGTATTTCAATTTTTTTTTTTTTATATATATTATTAGTTTCAATCATTGAAAATTCCAGGGTATGCTACAAGAGATAAGTATTAAATTTATGCCAGTCGTAAATTGAATTAAAAAACTTGATAAATTTTACTAGATCAAGCTAAATTGTCATTGTTAGATAAACTAAAGAACATTGTTCATAATATAACAAATATACATACTAGTAAATGTAAATGGTAGTTGTTTTCTTGCTTCCTCCATTGTTACTTTTTTTTCTTTCAACTTCAGTACAAATTGGTTAGAATTTTGCTTTTTTTTTTTATTAATATTAACATTTTCATCATCTAAATTTTTTTCATCGTCGTCTTTTAAATCACTCATATCATGATCCAAATTACATTCTTCATCATCATCAGTCATGGAATCTTCATTTAAATTAGTTTCATCATCATTATCACTTAGATCTTCACCTTCATTTATGTCATCATCTTCATCACTTCTTTCGTTTATTTCTTTATCTGAAGCATCATCAGAATTTTTATCTTCTTCTATTTCTAAACAACAAAAAAAATTAAATAATTTTAATGAATTCATTTATTATTCATTAAGATAAAATTTACCATCATTATTTACTGGGACAAGATCTCCACAGTTAAGGGGTTTACCTTCAGCGTTATAAGCTAAAGGCTGAACATCATCGTCACCAAAATCAAATCTAAAAAATTATACAATTTATTATATCTAAGTATTATGTCAAAATAAATAGCAATATATATGTTTTTTTACCCATCATCTAAGTCATCAGCACTTCTATGTTTAACAACTTCATTGTCTTCAACGCCTTTCATTCTTTTTATTCTTTCAGCTTCCAGTTTTTCTAGACGTTCTTTTTCTTCTTTAGCAATAACTTCATCAGATTTTAATTTATCACTTGCCTACCAATTAATGTAATAAAAATAAATAATGATAAGCAAATATCTATACTCTCAATATAAACTATCATAAGCCATCTTTTTATTTTTTAATAAGTTAAGATTTTTGAAATGTTCAATAAAGAAATCTTTCCAAAAAGTACCTTATTTTCAATAATAATGAAATCAGTTTGATTTTTACATTTCAAACATTTACTTGTTATTGTTACAACAATTTTCTAAAATAAGCATTTGATCATTTTGATTATTTGAACCACATATTTAAGAAACACAAGTTTTAAAATGTTTAAAAACAAGCTTTCAAGAACATTTATTTTTTATTGAGTTACATCATTTTTAAACAATATTTTAAATCTCAGTAATTTTGAAAGTTTTAATAAAAAACTGGACAACTATGTACACGTATATATTAACAGATATCTAGTGTCTGTTGAAGAAATAAGGTATAAACCCACCATAAGTATTCTTACGGACCATAAGAGGGATAGAAAATTCCTGATGAAGATGTATTTTGGAGAAGATCAAAAAAACTTCTAATGCATATTCTCTTTAAAGAAAACCTTGAGAACGTCTTTAAAACCCTCAGCATTTAGTCGTGTATTGCTTTATCACAAGAAATTATATATTGTAGAAACAATGAAATCCCCAAGTTTTTAAACTTGTTCTTTTAGATGAAAGTGAGGTAATTTTATTAATTTTTTTGTAATAACTTCATATACCACATAGAATACTATACTCTTTCCAACTCAATTTCAATAAAAGATAGCAATAACACTTTAAAAACAATCTTTTACTGTTTTTACTAGATTAATATTTTGAAAAATATATTTTTTTCAAATAAGTACTCCATTTCAAAAGTTAATAAAATAAATACACTTTCATAAAGCGGTTAAATAAGTGTTTTTCACAAATGAACTTTTTTTTAAACTTGTATTAAGTAAATATTAAAGATTAAATGTGTACCCAATGCCATAACAATAATAATTAATTTTAATAAAAATTATTTATATAATCTTATACCATTCCTCTAGCATCAAATTTCAATGAACGCATAAGAACATCATAAGAGTTTTTATCAACTTTTTTCTTTGCTAGAGGTTCATCTTCATAATCTAGTTCTCCGCGATTTTTAGTAGGAACTACAGGCATTAATTCTTTCCAATCTTTATCTAACTGTTCAGTTAATTCAGTTGTTTCTTGTTTGAGTTGTTTTTTTTCATATTTACGCAGTTTAGATTCTGCTATAAGTTTATCTATTAAATTACGATGACTGGATTCTCCATCACCAGCTTTACTTAACACCCCGCCACCAAAATGAGCTTTTTCAACAAAATCAGCTAAAAAATATGTTTAATTTAAGTAAATAGACACTCATAATAAATATATGAATGTAATACCTCCTAATCTTCCACCATTACGATCATCGTCAGAATCTTCATCATCATCACTGATTGGTTTTTCAAATTTTTCAATCGAAGAGAGGGCTTGACCTTGATGAGTAAGATCTTCCTCTTCTCCTAGATTATACTTCATTTTCTTTAAAAAAAAAATAAACAATTATAATATGAACATAAATTATTATTCAATATGTTTTAACTACTTTCTGAGCTTTAATTCTATTAGCAGTAAATCTTGCAATGACGCGGTCTTCAGCTGTCATACCATGATTATTTTCACCAATTCTACGATCAACAAATTTGTTAGATTTATCTTTCAATTTGTATTCCAAGAGTAATGATTTTTTTCTCTAAACATTAAAAATTACTATTAATTTTCTTATAAACATAAAATTTATATAAATAAATACCTTTTGAATAGCTTTCGATCTGGCAATACCTGGTTTACCAACTTCATTTTTAGTTTTTCGTCCAAGAATATTAAATTTTTTTTTATTTATGTGTAATTCAAATGGATTCAGTTCTTTATCAGTGGTATTTTTTACTTTCATAGCGAATTTTTTTAATTTAACCAAAAAATGAAAAGAATAATCTAAATATTAAATTAATAATTAAATATATCACTTAAATATAAAAATGATTCTGATATACTGAAAATAATACATAGTCTCACGCATGAAACATTTACTTCATGTGTATGATAAACGGTCTCACGTGTTTTTATTTTGATTATGGTATGAAGATAATTTATCAATTATCAACACCAGTGATAAGAAACATCTATATTATCATGAAAGAAAAAGTAATTTGTTTATTTTGTAAAAAAAAATGAATTTAAATAAATTGATTTTGCTGAAAACGGTATTATGCATAACACATATTTTCCTATCCCTTAAAATGATAAAAAATACGAGTCCTTTACCCTCATCTTATCTTATCAATGAAAATTAACTAAAATCATAACCATATAATCCCTAGTACCATGATAAAATCATTTTTAATTATAGGCTTAAACTTAATTTAATAATTACTTTGATTACTTAAATCATATTCATTCCACTCAAATAAAATATTTTTCGTATCTTTATGGAATTTATAGAATTAATGATATCAGTGACATTTATGCGTAGCAAAAACAATTAAAATGACACCACTGGTTAAAAGTACGTGTAATTTGCAAAACTGAACATGTTTCTTATATTATATACAATTTATTATTCTTAACACTAGTGTTAAACATAGATGCAACTAGTAAAAATACTGGACATGCTAAAATTATGTTAAGCTCACAAACCCTCAAGTAAATATTTTTTAAAACCATTGTAAAAAAATGAAAAAAAAAAGTTTTTTTCACTAATTAACCATTATATAAATATAAATTTTCGATTCGTTTTATAATCATGTTTTTAATCATCAAAATAATCATAAAAGTTTCAATTGATAAAAAAAAGTTTAATGTCAACTATAGAAAAAAATTCTCCATAGGCCAGAAAAAATTATTTTTACATATGGGTTGGCAATCCTAATTTAGAAGTGGTAGTGCTATAGCAACTCCACACTAGCTGGTTGCGTTCATGAGTGTTAGACTAGGAATAGTAAATCAATTATAATATTTTGTGAAATTAAAAAGTTAAAGATAATAAAAATTATACAACTAACATTACTGTAATTTGTTCATTTTTTTAAAATATAAATATATAATTTTGTTTTAAGCTAATCCTTTCCATTAAAATTAAGAATAATTACAAAAAAATTTGATTTCTTGAAAAAAAATTCAAAACACTAAAAATAATTATTAATGGATTAATGATAATAAAAAAAACCCAGCACAGGGGGGTCGCGGCACAATTGTGACGTAGTATAGTTGGATCAAGTATAATGATATCTGACAGTGATTAAAATCACTATCAAAAATAAACGCTTCGATGCAAATCTTTAGATAGTGTTTAATTTTAAAAAAATTGGTGTTTTATTCCAAAAGCTACTTGATCTGCTGGTTCCTTATTAATATCTCGATTAAGATAAAGTATGTCGAATGAAAAAAGGTTTATTAAAAAATATTATTTCTCATAAAAAAATTGTGTGGATCTATAAACTTTTCAATAAGTTATCGCATTATAAAGTTAAATATAATATAAATCATAAAATCGAGAATTTTCACACGAAAATAGCATTCGGTAGCCATTTTCGCCGTGAAGACAAGTCCAGAGGTCAAATTTTTTTTTTTCAAATTAAAGTACATTACATTAGCTTTAATTTAAGATATATATAAAAGTGTCAGACCTTCCGGAACATTTTCAAAAGTTAAGTTGAAAAAGTTAATTTTTTGTGAAAAAGTTGTCATTTTTAAACCCCCCCTGTGGGCAGAAAAAAGGTCAAATTTACAAAAAAAATATACCAAATAATAGGTAAAGACATCAAGCATCTATAAAAAAAAACAATTACATTGATATGTTCATTTTTGAAAAAGTTACGGCAGTTTTTAGTTAAAAAAATTGAAAAAATTTCGAAAATTAGCGATTTTTAAATTTGTAATTTTTTTGGAGGTTTCCCCCATTTACGGGGAACGAGGGAANAATTAGCGATTTTTAAATTTGTAATTTTTTTGGAGGTTTCCCCCATTTACGGAGAACGAGGGAATTTTTTTTAATTTTTGAGGTTAATATCTTGAGGTAAAATATATACGATTTGTGATCTTTTGACATATCGCAGAAAGAAATCCGTTAAGTGAGCGCTGAGAAAAAGTGGTGACAGACACACACACACAAAAAAAAAACACATCATAGTAAAACCAATACCTTCTCAGCTTCGCATCAAAGCTAAAAAAACATTATTTATAATTTATATTTATTTTAAAAATTTTTATAACTTATTTGTTATTAGTATTTAGGTATAAATTATTTTTTCTTAATAGCTTAAAAGTTGAAAAATTAAATCAGCTTATGTTCACACCATTATTTTATTAGTTTCGATGCGAAACTGAGAAGGTATTGGTTTTACTATGATGTGTTTTTTATTTTTTTTTTGTGTCTGTTACCACTTTTTCTCAGTCTCGCCGAACCGATTTCTTTCAATGATACGTCAAAAGATCACAAATCGTATCTAGTCAAAGACATTACCATCAAAAATTGAAAAAATTTCCCTCGTTCTTCGTCAATGGGGGAAACCCCCCAATAAATTACAAATTTAAAAATCGCTAATTTTTTCAATTTTTTTTACTTAAAATTGCCATAACTTTTTTATATAGATGCATGATATCGTTACTTTTCATTTGATATATTTTTTTTATAAATCTGACGCTTTACCTGCCCACGGGAGGGATTTAAAATGACAACTTTTTCACAAAAAATTAACTTTTTCCACTTAAATTTTTAAAATGTTCCGGAAAGTCTGACACTTTTATATATATCTTAAATTAAAGCTAATGTAATGTACTTTTTTATTTTAAAAAATTTCGGACTTTATTTTGTCTTCACGGTGAAAATGGCTACCAAGTGCTATTTTTGTGTGAAAATTCTCGATTTTGTATTTTACATTTTTAACTTTATAATGCTATAACTTTTTGAAAAATGTATGGATCAACACAATTTTTTTATGAGAAATAATATTTTTTAATAATCCCTTTTTCATTCGATATACTTTATCTTAATCAGGATATTAATAAAGAAATAGCAGATCATGTAACTTTTGGAATAATCCACCAATTTTCTAAAAATAAACACAAATTTTGAACTTGTAAAATTCATAGAATGGGATACTGTCTAAGGAGGAGTGGAAGGAGTCCCCCTCACAAGCTTTTCATGGGAAACAAATTATGGAAAATGATACAAGGGCCCAAAATTGTTGGCCCCTCCAATAAACATTTTCTGGCTACGTGCCTGGTACTCATTTTCTTAAAAATTACTGAAAATTATTAATTTTTGTTTGGAGATGAATTTTAGTTTAAAAAATAATATTAAGTTGTAAAATAATTTTTTTTATCTTTTTAGAAATAAAAACCTTAGCAAATATTTTCTTAATGGTAACTCATGATTTTAACTTCATAATTTGATAGAAAAAAAAATTATAAATAATTTATTGTTATTTTATATAACATTTTAAAATTAAGTAATTTTAAATTTATTTGCTTATAATATTTCATTATTAAGAATAACAACAGTCTATTTTTCTATTTTGTCACATTAACTAGTTTGTATTAACTATGGTATTATTCAACATATGGAAGTCTTATCTGTAATAATTCATGTCTATTAATAACCGCATACTCTTATATTCAACACAAGTTAACTATCGCACATTATCAGTCATCTAAAAGTAAAATTTTTATCGATAACTATCATTAAAATTGAGTTAATGACCTATTGTAACTGATTATTGCTGCCTCTGGTATTATGAAAACCATTTCACTATAAATCCAAATTTTTAAGTAATCTTAAAACGTAAAAGATTAAACAAATAAAAAAAGTCGTAAGTACAAAATTGCTTATAATGTTTTTCTCTATCATCATATTAAGTTAAAAAATAGGGGTTCCCTTTAAAAAAAATTATTAAATCACATATTATCGTCGAGTTCTTTGACTCAAATAACTATTTTTTTTACAAAAATAAAGTTCTTTGACTCAAATAACTTTTTTTTTTACAAAAATAAAGCATTTTTAATCATTTTTAGAAACCAAACATATTTTATAGATTACTATCTTAATAAAATATCATCTGAAAACATAACTGATTGATAACATTTTTTGGGACAGTTCTACGAAAGTTATCAGCATTTTTATACTTAGCCGCAAAAGAAGTGCAACCAATAAATGTACATAGATAAAAGTAATCACACTTGCGTTTCGACTCCTTTTCATATTATACAATGGCAATAACTTGTGGAGTATTTAAAATTAAATACAATTGATAAACGGATCATATATACTGAGTTCAGTACGGCAAGTATTTAGTTTTTAGTGTTTATCCTACAATTTTACTCTTAACACATGGTCTATCCTTTAATCCTACTTTTTTGCGGTAGCTATCTTTTTATTTTAATGTAAGTCTTAAAGTTTAAAAACTTCATTTGTGCTAATCTAGTTTAAATATAATCTTAGATTGTTCTATTTTTTAACTTAAGAGATTTTATCAAAAAAATTATTTTGTTCCCATAATAAGGAATCCAAATTTTTTGTGAGTGTATTTTTGTTAGTATACAGGTACTTTCAAGTAAACATAATAATGAAATATATTAAATATTTTTTATGAAAATTTCTTAAAATCAATGTCATTTGAAATAAATTTAACCTCGTGAAATTTATCATAAAACAAACAATTATCTCTATGTGGATATTGATAATAGCCTGTAATGGTCCACTCTCATATATTTTTAATAAATGCATACATGTCTATTATTTACTGTCAGTAGTTTATATAAACGAAAATGTGTGCGATATTTTTCTCAGTATTTCATAAAGTAATTTTGAGTTTTATAAAGTAACCTAATTATTTAATCTCGTCATATTCTTGAATTAGGTTGGGATGGTTGACCATTTAAGTGCTAATTGTTACAAATTTCAATAATGAATTTACTAAATGTTTTATTATCGATGTTGTAAGTAACGAAACCTCGTCAGTCCTGCGCAAGTAAAAAATAATAGAGAAAAGAGAAACAAAAATTACCAACGTGAAGATGCGATGGTCGCGGAGGAAGAGGCGGTGGCAAATATCGATACTTATTCGTTTTGTGAATTTTACAGTCTAAATACTAAGGCTGCCGTGGCGTTTGTCGTGCGACGAGTTTGCGCCTTGCCGGTCTATATAATCAGCGCGCATCGTACCCAGTCAGCCAACAGTGTTAGTATTCCTCTCTGTTTCGGCACATTTGTGTGAGTGTTAGATACGATTTACTAAGCCAATCACAATAATAAACTCGTTTTAGTAAGTAAAAATAACCAAATTGAAGTCGTGTTCGGTAATAATAATCATAACAGTAATTCAAATATTTACACGTTGCATTTAATCTCAGCAATCTTGTCTTGTCTTGGTTAAAAGCAAGTAACATATTTCGGACACAAGTCAAAAAGGTAATAAAAACAATATTAATTATAAATGTGAAATTGGCGATTCGTATTATCAGATAATTATTCAGCATGGCGTCAATTACGATAAACTAATACTATTGTCAAAAGTACTTAACGGGTACCGATAAATGTCTCTTGCAGCAATTTTATGTACACAAACGAAATAATAATTGGTTTTTCACAATTCCGTAGCTAGTACTACGTTGACAGGTGTCGGAGTCAATTATATAAAATGAGAGGAGAGGAGACAAGAGCTTATTTCATTCGCAGCTAGGATCCACCACCATATCTTATTAATTCTATATTATGACATAAAACAGTACAGATTATTCTTTTTTTTTTTGACAAGATTAATTTCCTTTAATTAGGATGGAAAAATAAATTTAGTACTAATACCTATGTACTAAAATATTAGTACCTATTATGTACAATAAATTATTAATTAAACAGGTTCGCATTTATTTCATGCTGGCTAGTAAATTAAATACATAAATTTTCGTAAAGTTAGCTTTCACTACACGGCATATTATTTATTATTAAATGTACTGTTTTTATCGATAATATGACGAAGTCATGTCATTATTAATGGAAACAATACGGGCGGCGGTCATAAAGTTCAAACAATAGGGGAAGTTTGACCTAAAGAATTTTGACTCTCAATCAAACAATGATGACTGATAACTTTTTATAACACTACGTTGTATGTATAATTACTGTTTAAATAATTTTTTTTATCAAATTATATTTTTAACAGCTTTTAATGTTAACTATTTTTTCGATTTGAAATTTAAACATTTTGTTATAAGACTTACAAAACGCCGTATTATTTCGAGTGTTCAAATTGTGCAAGAGAATATTAAAAAGAGAAATTGATGATAACATATAGATAGCGAACAGTAGAATCGATAAGACGTTTTGGGGGCGTTTATATTCACCAGCGAATAGACCCTTGTCGTGACTAGTCAATTTAATTAATTTAGTGGAAAATAATGATTTAACTTGGGTTTTAAGTTGTTTGAGTAAATTAATGCTAAGTTCATAAGACTATAGCTACTTAATAATATGAAAAATTAAAATGTTGTAAATGCTCATCTATTTATTAAAAGCTAGACATTTTTTCTAATGAATATAATATATCTTATAATGTTAGAACAAAGAGTTATAATAAAATTATATTTGCTAAAAATTCATATTAGTATGTCAGCCATACAATATTTTTTTTCATATTATAAATAAATATTTTTATAATTAATTGATAGATATAATATTATTTTATTGTTCTATAAACTATTAATTTTTATTTTCAGTTTTATAATAAGTCAAGACAATGATAGTAAATACTTTCAATTAATATAAGGGCACGTACTAACAAATATAATTTTTGACATATAAAATTATGTATGTTTAATATAAAAATAAAGTATAAAAATTGTTAACTAATTAAATAAAGTCTATTGATTAAATAATTTAAAGCTTACTTTTGGAATTAACATTTTTAACTCAATATCATAGTTAAACGCTTGTGAATAATAAAACGTTGATAAAATGTTTGGAATTCACAAAACGCATTAGAGCTACTTGCTTTCTAACTTAATACCCTTTCAAAAAAAAGTCGAGTACATATTCTTTACATTCGAACGTAATGTCAAACAAGCTGTAAAACGAATTGTTATATTTTTTTTCGTCTCCCTTACCCAAAGAATGTCAAGTAATTTAGTCAAAGCTTACAAAATTACACAGAATAAAATGGTTTATGTTCAGATGTTTACGAACTATAATTGATGTTTGTTTTAAATAAAAAACTTTAAATTGACAAAAAACACATTTTATTAAAATGTTCATTTGGTTTTTATTATGAATAGCTTATACTATAATTTTATATAGAATACATGATTAAAACATTACCTTTGATTTGTATTTAAATAATAGTATTTATATCAATACGACTTTATTAAATACAAAGGTTATTATTTAAAGCTTAAGAAAAATAATATAGTAGGTATAAAAATATTTTTTGCTTTTCAATTGTTTCAGATCTCATTTTTACAGTCATCCTATGATTAGACAAAGGAGGCCAAGCCGATCTCGTTCCATTATATTATGGGGTGGTTTTTTACTGTTATATGCCGCACTTACTGCAATCATAGATTGTACAATAAGTACAGAAACAAATTTAACCATAACACAATTTAATGAAGAGAAACAATATTTCACTCCAATAACACCTCTTCATTCATCTACTCTTATTGTAGGTGATTCAAGTTTAAAATCACCAAAAAAAGATGTTTCTACTACTTCTGTTAATGATCTGGTAATTAACTTATCATTGTAACTAATAATTTTAGAGCTTAGTTTAATACTTTTAGCGTCAATCGTAGATAAATTGAGAGAAAATAGTCTTAGATGGTTTGGTCATGTTATGAGGATAGAGGAATTGGATGCTGTAAGAACAGTTATGGAAATGAACGTCGAAGGGATAAGAGGTAGAGGAACACTAGATAGAGATAGAGGGATGTTATTGTATTCGATATGTGGACGGATGATGTGGGAGATCGAGTCAAGTGGAAGTTTAGGATAAGAGTGGCCGATCCTAAGTAGTTCAGATAAAGGCGAGGAAAAAGATAAAGATAAATATGTATTTTTTATGATTTGTGTACTTATATTTAGTGTATTAAAATTTTATAATCGCTCGCTGGTCTACAAGGGTCAATAGTTATAAGTCATTATTTTCTTAATATAGTTAATGCAATTATGATAGTACTAAAAAAAACATTGAAATAATTTAGCATAGTCTACCTAATCTATCGGCTTAACAAATTTATGGTTTTTAAATACATGTTTTACATTGAAGTAGAATGTAAAATTCATTAATTACAGTTTATGGTATAATATTTATTTATATCATCTTATTAGCCTAAGCGTATTATACAAGTTAACAGTAATCTGTTTCATATTAAATGCTTTTGGAACTATTTATCATAAATATAACCGGAGATATAAAATGACATTATTTAGTATTTCAATAAAATATAATATAAATATTTATTTTAGTAATCGATTTTTGTGTTAAAATAGTATTTTAAATGATAAATATATTTAATGATGATTTTGTAATAACCAATTATTTTTTTTTATAACATAAAGATATTAATCAAAATCTAAGAATATAAGAAAAAAAATCAATTCAAAAAATAATTTTACAATTTTTTATTAGAAAGTATCGTTATCATTGCCAGTGAACTCAACAATTAGTAACGTTACTACCACAGAGACCTCTGAGATATGTACTCCACCAGCTATAAAACAGTTTCCACGTCCATTTATGAGACCACACATTAGACGAAGAGGAGGCGTTATATTCCACATAATACTTTGTATTTACAGTTTTTTAGGATTGGCAATAGTTTGTGATCATTATTTCGTCAAATCATTGGACAGGATTTGTGAAGGTATTACTTTTCACATATTTGATTTTCAAATGTACTAATATCGGGCGGCGGACCGTATAGGCAATTATACTACACAAGTGAACCATACTATTAAATATAAAATATTATGAGACAAATATAATAAGTATATAAAACTTAGTTAAATTTAAAATTATTGGCTATCAATATTTACAATACCTTTAATGAATGAACAATTTTCGTATTTTGATGGAAATAAGTTTAGAAAACTCGATTGAATTTAAAATTATGCTTTTTTCTTAAAGAGATTATAAAAAAACAAAAATTATTTTGAAAATTATTAAATGAAATATTAAGGAGACTTGTGTTCCTCAACAAAAAAATACAAAAAAAGATATATTTTTGCCAAACGTTCTAACTCAATATTTAATTTTCTTTAAAATTAAGATTTTTGATAACTATAGAGATTATTATGAAAAAACTAATTTTATAAATCATATCTCTAAAGGGTATTCAAGGTATAACATTTTACGGGTTACCTTAAACGGCACGTGTAACAGAATATACTCAATGTAGTTAAAAGTGAAAATGTACAAATAATTTTGTAGGTATTATGATACCTTTTATTATATAGTCCCATACTTTAAACCTTTAGAGTTAGACCATATGCAACCTTTAAACTTGTATGAATAATTTTCTATTGATCAAGTCAAGGGAATGTCACCATAAAAATAGTATACGTGTTCTATTATTATAAATAACAAAAACAAACTTTTTTGACCAAATGAATAATAAGTATCTTAGTATGTGTTCGACATCCGTAAAAGATGGTCCAACGTCTTAACATCTGACGAAAGTCATTTATGTACGCACACATAAAACTTGTTCTAATCATATCATTAACTGTGTCATTGTTGTTAATTAACGGTCGTTGTTCAGGCCGAATTTATTAGCTAATTATTGTTTTAATGTGAGTGTTACCGTTTTGGCATGTATATTTTTGTTATGTGATCGTAGACCTGTTGTTTTGATTCGCCGGCAACAAAGGAGTTGGATATTTCAATAGAAAGACGATGTATGAGTCAGGTCGAATCTACATAATTATTATTGTTATAGTTTTATTATTTTTATAACTCTCATTTTTCATAATATTTATATTGATATATGTACAATTCTACTAACTACATATAATAAGTGCCCTAATGTTATGTTAGTTAAAAAGGAGGTGTAATACAGTTAAGCATATTTATGTATTATATTAGCGTTATTATATATTTTCATCTGTATGTGGGGTAATATGATCTACAAAATTACCCAAAAATGATATGGACCAAACGACCGCCTTATAGGAAGCCGTTGGCGAAATATTATGACTTTATTTTTTACACTATAAGCGTTAGGATTAATTATCATAATCATCTAAAATTTGCTTTATTAGTTAAAATATTTAATAGAATATATAATTGCTTTCTACTAGGTGTAAATATCTATGAATTGAAGTATTTTGAATTGTTAGTCCATTACAGTAGAAAAAGACTGTAAGGATAGACCCGGTAACAATATCATGTTAGATGACTTGATCTTGTGTTTTAAATACATGTATATCACAATATATTTTTATTATTAGTTAAATATCAATACTTAATGAAATATAATGATTAACCTTTTTTGTAGAACTTAAAGTAAGTCCTGATGTTGCGGGAGCCACTTTCATGGCAGCAGGTAGTTCAGCACCAGAGTTAGCTACAGTAATAATAGGAGTCTTTTTGGCTAAAGATGACATTGGTGTTAGCGGTGTTATTGGATCTGCTGTGTTTAATATTATGTTTGTAATAGCGATTTGTGGGCTGGCTTCAACTACAGTAACATATCTGAATTGGTGGCCTCTTTGCAGAGATTCGTTTTTCTATACTATTAGTATTCTCATCATGCTATTAGCAATATACAATGAGACAATCACCTGGTAATTTTTAGGAATTCATTCAAGATTGTGTTAAGGAGGGTATACCTACCTCTTTTTTTTCAGGATGGAGAGTTCTCTTTTGTTGTTAACTTATGTGATATACTGTGTAGCCTTATACTATAATTTATACTTAGAAGCATGGGCTAACACGTGGAATTTACCATTTCCGCCTAGAAATCATGGACAAGTAAGTTATTAGAAAATTACTCGATAAAATATTATTTTTCATTTTTTCTTCAAAATTGTATGTGTTAAATAAAAATCAATAATAATTTTGATAGTTAAAATAAAATTAATGACTCGCTATAAAAAAAAATTTGATGTAGATAAATGAACTATTTACTGAAAAAACAGTTCTTGAAGGAGACGGGGAAAAAGTTCCAGAACAGATACAACTAACGGGTACTAAAAGTCAAGGGTATGATACAACAGGATCTACAGGTTTGGATCAACAAGAATTAAATCAAGAAAAATCCAAAACCCGACCACAAAACCCAGATTTTTATGTACCGAAAGAATACCAAGAGGATAATGAAGTAAGCTAAAATAAATTTTAGTCATATTAGTGTTATAATTCAAATAACAAAAATTAATAAAATAAAAAATAAATGATAATAATAAAAATAATGATGGGGACTTGGGTTTTTGTATATAGTGAGAACCTGGTGTTGTGGTTCTATCGGGGTCGTATGGTTCGAGGGTTTAGAACGACAAAGACAAGTAGATATAAAAATAATAGACGTAGTACCTCTATTCGATAAACTTTTGTCTGGTTAGTTTCTAATGTCCTAACTAAGAGGCAACGAGACGGCAGAGCCAGTCCACGAATACCATATAACGTGATTATGTATAACTTCTTTAACCAACCAGTCAAAATTGACACTTTAAGATATTAATTTAATAAATGATCTATTGCTTTGTCATCCTTTACTCACACTTATTAACTCCAAATAATTGGGATAACATAAAATTTCTTACTTCTTTTATTCTTGAAAATTGCTGTAAAATGATTTGATAAATATCTCGATATGTTTATATATGTTTAAAAGTATTTAATTCGCACTTCTTCAAAAGATAAATAATTAAAACGAGTTCTTTTCATATATATATAAAACGCGTAAAAGTCAGCCGACAACAACACAGGGCTGTGACTGATAATTATTTCTATTTATTCTTATTTCAATTCGGAGAAAGCGAACTCTTGCTCGCTGTCACTCCATGGAGTCTGAAAGGATTTCAGTGCTTTTTATAGTAAAATGATAGTACCCCCAATCCAGGGATATTGTTGTCAGCGCTTTTAGTGATCTTTTTAGTTTATTGTGTTTAATTATACATTACATGATTATTATATTGAGATAACATATTTAACAATTGATAAATTGACATATATATAAATAATAAGAAATTGTGTTGAACATCGTATTTGTTATGACAGATAAATTATTTGTTTGTTTATAAATTATTTAAAATACAGATTATACATTTTTCATTGATAATTGTAAGATACTTAAAGCAAAGCATTGAGCATATTACGACATTAGGTTTCCTTTTACAAAATAAAAATGCAAAATTGAGAATATCTTGGTTTTGTAATTTTTTTTTTATCTCTTGCCATAAAATGTTAATTCTTATGAAAAAAAAATTTGTTTTTATAAGAATTATTTAATAATTTAAAGTAATAATACTAATGTTGAGAATAAAAAAAGAAAATTGTCCGTTATTCAATCTAAATAAAATATCTTATTGTTAATAGCCTGACCCACTAGTGAAACCTAATAATGCAACTCTCACAGAGCAAATTCAATGGGCAGTATTGTTTCCTATTTATTATCTATGCCATTATACCATGCCAGACTGTCGCAAAGAACAATTCAAAAGTTGGTACATTTTAACGTTTATTATATCAATGTTTTGGATATCTGTCTATTCATATATAATGGTTTGGATGATCACAGTAATAGGTCAGTTAAAAATTAAAAATTGATACTTTTTTGTTTTACATTTTCTAATTTTTTACTTTGTGTTTAGGAAATACTCTTGGAATACCCGACACTGTTATGGGCCTTACGTTTGTCGCAGCTGGAGTTAGTGTACCGGATGCGTTATCAAGTTTAGCCGTCGTTAAAGAAGGTGAGACAAATGTATAAGAAAATTAAGATTGTCTTTACTTCAATTTTTAATTTAGTTGATGTATTTTATCACAAAAATTAGAAATACCTCTATGATATTTATCCAGAAAAATTTTTGAAAACGAATAAAATAATCGTATAAAATAAAATAAAATAAAATAAATTTCTGATTTGAATAATGGTCATGATGAATACAGTCTTACCTAATATAATCAAATAGCAATTTCAATTTTTACAAAATTTTTTAAATGTTTTGAAACAAATATTGTGACAATATCACAGAAGCATAATAAAAAAAACTATATCACAGTGGGGTCGCGGCACAGAGGAGACGTGGCATAGTTGAGTCAAGTATAATGATATCTGACAGTGATTAAAATCACTATCATAAGAAATACTTTAATGCAAATATATAGATAATGTTTCATTTTAAGAAATTGGTGAATTATTCCAAAAGAAAAATGAACTCAAATTATTTTTTTTTAACTTTAGTACGTTAAATAAGTTTTAATTTAACATATATTTCAAGACAAAGTATTTCAGGAACAATTTTAAAAGTTAAGTTGAAAAAGTTCTAGTTTTTAATTAATTTTAAATATACTAAACGTATTTCAGAGGTATACACCCTAGAAATACGTCTGGATGATTTTGTAGCGCTGGATTCTAAAATTAATGAAAAACACAAGATGGGTTTATTCTTAAATCATTTAGTCTATAAGTAAAAAAATCAAAAGAAATTTTTTTTACATCAAGAAATGATTTATTTATAAATAGATCATAGTCTAAGTATATTTAAAACCGTGCCCATTTATGTAAAAGGTACAAAAGTAAATTTACCACTTTCGAAAAATGTATTATTGCCTTTGATTTATCAATACGAAATAAAAATTAATTAATATAGTAGTTTTGTTCAAAAATAAAGAAAGCTACATATTGATTATTTAGGAAAAATTGACTAAAAAAAAAAATGATCATTGGATACTTTTTTTACAAACTACAAACCGAATTTCTACACTTGCGTATGAAGTTTCTTATTATTACATAATAACGAAGTTAAATACAAAAAAATTGTAAAAGTTGAGCGTAGAAAAAAAAATTTAAATATTAAAAATTAATTTTATGATATTTAGGATATGGTGACATGGCTGTTTCTAATGCAGTGGGTAGTAATGTTTTTGATATACTTGTATGTTTGGGATTACCTTGGTTCCTTCAAACTGCCATATTTAATCCAGGAAGTACTGTAAAAGTATACAGTAAAGGTGAGTTTTAAGCTAAGAAATTAATAAAAACATAACCAAATTGAGAACTCCTTCCTATTTATGAAGTCACTTAAAAATTATAATAATTAATAATTGATTCTAATATAACAACTTACTTGTAATAATTTAACAGCAGTTTTTTTTAATATGTTCATGGATTTCAGACATTTTCAAGTTTATTAGAATTTTATATATCAATAATAAGTATTGTGTGATACAGTGTGATTTACTAAAAATACTACCTCTTATTTTTTTGGTTAAATTATGACTTTATAATAATATACTGATTAAAATTTTTGTTTATTTACATTACCATAATAAACATCTAGTTGTAAGAAAGAAGATTTTAGGGGTAACATTAAAAGTGAAATATGAACCAATATTATTTTTCTACTACCATATAAATGGGAGATGGATAAGACAAAATTTTTAACTGGTCAATAATTAGTTTTGTATACTATTTTTTGAGTTATAATATTTACTTTTAGGCAAGAAGAGTGCGCAACGTAGAAGAATTCTTGTCGTTTAACACTATCTTACACCTTACATTTTTTAAAATTTTTAAATACTAATATAACAAAAATTAATATTACAAAACTAGTTATCAATGATTCAAAATTTTAATTAGCCCATTTTCCATTTAGTAGTAAAATATAATAATAAGTTCCCATTTAACTTTCGAAAGTTATCCCTAAAATTTGTTTCAAAAATACTGTTTTCTTAAAATAAACTTGATATTTATTATGGTTAATAAAAATATATCGAATTTAAATTTTGACATTATTATAAAAAAATCCTTATTTAACAAAAAAATAGGCAGTACCATTCTTTAAAAACTACTTAGATAAGAAATTTATTCGGGATATTTGTTAAAATTTTAATTACAGTAATGCAATTTTTGTTGTAAATTTGAAAGAAAACCCAAATAAATTCTGCCAAAATGATATCAACTTAAAAAAGTTTATTCGGTTAATTATATACATAACCCAGGTCCACGTGTGGTAGCGGCAAGTGTTACCCTTTGTCCCTGGTGGAAAATTTATAGTTCATTAGGGGGCGTAAAATATTTACGTAAAAATTTGTCGCCTAAAAAATGCAATTACTATGTTTTATTTATTATCGAAAAAAATATGTACCGTGGTCACGATTCTACTAATTATAAAATTTTTTTCTCAAAGGAGCGCCTAAAAAAATTGATTAAGGGCACCAAATGTCCAAATGGAGAACTGACATTATATTTAATTGATGTATAATATTACACAATAATTCTCTTGATATAGCTAATCATAAAATTTCTAATATTTCTATAACTTTAAGTACTATCTATGTTATTAAATTAGTTTATAGATATAAAAAAAAGATTTTTTTTTATCAAAAAATGATTTCTTTTTAGGTTTGACCTACTGTACTTTAACACTTCTTTCTACCGTTGTTTTCCTATTGGTAGCTACTCATATGAATGGATGGAAATTAGATAGAAAATTTGGAGCTGTTCTAATGTTGTGGTATTTGATTTTTATTGCTATTGCTAGTTTATATGAGCTTAATGGCACAATGAATCCGCCCAGCTGCTTAACAGATTATTAAATTATTAAAGTTAAATTTCATCTTATTATAGATTATTTACAAATAATTATTACATACAACTTATTTTTTGATTTTTAATTGAGTTTATTAATCATAATTTCGTTTGAACTATTATTAACCTGTCGCATTCGACAGTTCAGCGTCCTGTGATTTTTATATGTTAATTAATAATGTATGTCATGAATAAAAGTAATGTTATTAAGATACTACTGGAATGCGTTTGAAATATCTATAAAATCTAATAACATAAATTTATGTGAGATGATTTGTGTTTAGTACACGTACACAATATTAAGTATTTAATGTATTTATGATTGCTTTGGTTAGTAAAAATTGAATAAACCAGGATAGAATAATATATTGAATTGTGTTTCTAGTCAGTCAACGTAGCATTTATAGCACGATTATTATTTAAATGAAAATATTTATATTATTATTTTTGAATATATTCATTGAGAACTTTAATTGATAAATTATATTATTTAAGACTTTATAAAATGTATTACTACTAAATTTGTTTTTTTATATTTAATTCATTGGTTGTTATAAATATTTTTCTTATGCATAAAACCGTGTAATGTTATGTACTTAAAAATAACAAAGTGCCATAAATCATTAAATGTTTTTAAAACTAACAATTAATGGATGATAAGCTTATCTTTTTAATTACTGCCATTACTGTTTTCTTGTTAATTTTCAATGATGGTTCTTTTATTTTTTTTATTTTAATATAATATTTAAATTAAGTATAATAAATAATTTAATGATGACAATAATTAGATGATAATTAAAATTAAAGTTATATATGTTATTATTAGTTAAATAATAAAATGTCTGATTTTAATAATAATGAATGTCTAAATGTATTATATTAATGTAAGTTATAAAATGTTTATTATTATGGTTAAGTTTTGATCTTTAACAAAACTTTGAAAAGAGAAGAATAAATTATAATGTAATGTTAACAAAGACAAGCAAATCAGATTAATGCTACATCACAAACCTTTTATAGAAGTTTTTTAAGTTAAATCTGTTTTTTTTTATAAAATACAGTAACTTACTTATTTTATCTATAATATTATAGTTTTATTAAAAATTTATTATTTTTATTCTATAAAAAGGGTTTATAGTTTTAATTATACAATAATATGATTTGCTATTATTTAATAAAATTAAGCTTCTCTATAAAAGAAGAAATACAGAAGTTATCCATAAGAAAACAGTACATATTGGCCATACTCTGTTATATTTCTTAAATATTTTTTTTTTATAATTTGTCATATACACTTCTCTTTATTTACTGGGTGTAATCAAGTTTTAAATTAGCTTATAATACTTATATTTATTTGTAATATATTCCTTAGTTATATGAACTAAATTATAATCTAGGTTATTTACTTTATTATTTTATATATTGTTATACCTTTTTGTGTGAAAAAGGCTGAATTAAGTATTATTTGAAATGTTAATAACCTTAACAAAACTATGTAGCAAAATAAATATACTATAAATATTAAATATTGTTTTACTCAATAAAAAATTATTTATTCACAATTTAAACAGAGACAGTTTTTGTGAATTCAATGAATTTGGCACTTTTTAAGAGCCAGTTGGCTTTCATATAAAAATATCGACAAATATACTTAAATCACCTCTATTTTTTTGTATAATTACTTGTGGGTACATTGATCATACTTATTAAATATTATTCTTTATAATAAAATTTGAATATTTTTAATTAACAAATTTATTATAAATTTAAAATTATGTAAATTTTCTTATTGATTATTCAATAAATTAATAAATTGTTTAGATTTGTTGTTGAGTCTGAAACAATTTATAGAAAAATTAATTTTGTTCTATAATTTAAATAAATATATAATATATCTGTGCCTGACTGATTTAATAAAAAGGTTAAAAATGTATTAAAGCATAGTCGTGTTTAAAATTTTGCTATAATTAAAGAAAATATTATTGTATAAAATATTACATTTTAGAACATATAAATAATGGGTGTCCATTTGAAGTAGAAGTGACGACTCCTTTCAATTTTTCTGATTACTAATAAAAAAAAAATAGTTAAGTCTGCAACCTTTGAAAATTTTACAATAAGTATTATGCTATTATTTTAGTTTTTATTATTGATAAATAATAAATTTATTATTGGGGAGGGTGATTCAAAAAATTTTTAGTTACTGTGAATTTTATTTTAAATAATTCTAACAAAAGATACCTGTTAAGTCATTAAGTACATGAAGTTTTTTCAATAAAAGTTTATTGAAAATATATACTCCCCTCTTGATTTATGTCATATGGACGCCCATATATGAGATACAAATTAGAGTTTTATTTAAGATTGCTTGTATAAATATGTATACACCTAGTATTGTTTACTAATAGCAGAGATAAATAAAAAACTTAATAGCAATATTACTCACACAATACTTCATCTTAAAGAGATTAAAAAATATTTTTTTGTTTAATTAGATTATAAGTTAGGCAATACTTAAGTTTAACAAATGACCTTTTATTTTATTCAGTAAGGTTTTAGAATTGATTATTTGATTATAAAAAGCTATCTGTGGCGTAGTTGTAATTCTTTATGATTAACTTATATAAAATTTTATCCTGTTCCTCTTAGGGGTTGATGCTTTCATTATTTTAAGAAGGATAACCTAGGATTTTTTGACAATTGAGATAAGTTTAAGGTGAAACCGAGATAAAGTAAAAATTTATCTACCTTATTCCTTAAGTTTTGTCTCTATTTTTTCTAAACAAAAAAATGTACACATATTGCATACTTCTATAACCAATAATAAGGGCTTAAATTGTTTACATTTAACCGTATCTATGCCACTGATAACTATTCTAAAATCTGAATAGTTTTTAAGACAATTATTTATAAAACATCAAAATAGAAAATATCTTTAGTTATAATAACCGAACTAAAAATTGTATTGTAAATTATTGTTAACGTTTTACTAGTGATTTATTGTATTAAAAAAATGATATTGATGATTGCTATACAAAAATAATAACTTTAATTTATACATTAAATACTCATATAGTAATTATATAATATAATATTGTTAAAAATAAATGTTAAAAAAATTAATATTCGTGAGTTTATTTTCTTAAATAAAATCCATCTGTTTTATGTTATCATTTTGCATCTTACTAATAATTCATAGTTGAGGCAGTACACTCATAGTTGAATAGTACTTTTTAAGAGTTTTTAATCTAAAGTTAACTTTTCCCTTTCTGAGCGCAATAGTAGCCGTTACGCAAATGTCATTGTATCAAGCCTAACTAATCAAATTTTTACAAAGTGATTATTTTATCCAGTATTGAATTCAGAGATTTTTTGGAAGCTATAAGCATTGATGCAATCAAAATATATATTTTCATAAAATTACTAAAAATTTAATGAGCTAATTTGAACCGACTGCAAAACTTAACGATTCGCCTAATATAAATATACGTATCGTCGCACTATACAAGTCGATGAAGTTGTATCATAATGTTAGTAAACTTAATTTCCAATCATACATAAAATATCCAACCATAAACGTAAAAAAACTTAAAATATTACGCATTAAGGTCATTGTGATACCAAGAATAATAATTCAAATGGAATGTTACGATTCTACTTTATTATTTACTACTTTGTTGTTTAATTTTAAGAAACAACTGCCGTTTGTATCACATTTTTAAAAAATTCAAATTATTTGATTACTCTAAAAATTAGACATAAAGTTTTCATATTTAAAATAGTGGTTAAAATGTTCTGTTATAATTATAAAGTTTATAGTTAAAAAATATAGTAAAACAGAATAGTATAGATATATATACGGAAATTTATTTAAAAAATATATATGTAGTGTTTACTTTCAATAGTATAGATTTATTGTGTGAAATAACGTCATGCTTTTAAATTATTTGCAGGTAATATTGCAATGTTTCAGTAATTATATACTTTGCACAATATAAACGATTATGTCTTTGTATAAACAGACGATTCATATTTATGCAAATATTGAATAATGAATATGTTGGTAGTGTTATTTATTATTTAGTAAATAAAACATATATTTTATTTTATTAACAATAAAAGATTATATTTTAACTATTCATTAGAAATAAAATACGAATGGTATTATTATTGCAGTTAAAACATTTAAAAAATAATTATTTTTCAGAAATAAGCTTTCTTTGATTCACGGTAGTTAAACATTCAAAGTAATCATGTCGTTTAAAATGATGTACATACAGGGTGTTCGATATTACATAAACATCGAGTTCTTTTTTACTACAGATAAAAAATTAAACTGTTTTATAAAAATGGAGACGACTTAAAATTTAAATATTTCTTATGAAATTATGAATAGTAAATAATAAGTTAACAAGATTTAAATTAAACACTTAATAAATCTTAATGTTTTAAAACTGATGATATAAAATTATCAATAAAAATAATAATAAAATAATTTTATCGCTTATATAGGCCGACATAAAACCAACAAAAATACCCAGCACAATGGGGTCGCGGCACAATGGGGACGTGGCATAGTTGGGGCCAGTATAGATGAAATCTGACAGTGATTAAAATCACTATCATAAGTGACGCTTCAATGCAAATCTGTATTTAATCTGTGGGGATTCAAAATGACAACTTTTTCACAAATAATTAACTTTTTTAACTTAACTTTTGAAAGTGTTCCGGAAACGAACACTTATATATATCTTAAATTATAACTTATGTAATATACTTTCTTATGGAAAATAAAATTTTCGTACTTAATTTTGTCTTCACAGTGAAAATAGCTACCAAATGCTATATTTGTATGAAAATTCTCGATTTTATATTTTGCTTATTTAACTTTATATTTATAAGATTTTTTGAAAAATGTATGGATCAATACAATTTTTCCACGAGAAGTATTATTTATATACATCTTTCATTCGACATACTTTTTTTTTAAATCGGACCATTTACTTATATACGGGGGGGTTAAATTAAAGCTTATGTAATATACTTTCTTATAGAAAAAAAAATTTTTGGACTTTATTTTGTTTTTATGGTGAAAACGGATATCAAAGTTAATAAAAAAATAAGATTTTTGTAAAAAAAAAATTTTTTATATTTTTAAATTTACAAAGCTATAACTTAAAGATAAAAATTAGTACTGTATATATATATATATATATAATTTATTTATTACACTTATAAATCATAATACTTGTAATCAGAATATAAATAAGGAAATAGGAGATCTTGTAGCTTTTGGAATAATCCACCAATTTTTTAAAATTAAACACTACAAATCTACAGATTTGCATCGAAGCGTTACTTATGATAGTGATTTTAATCACTGTCAGATTTCATCTATACTGGACCCAACTATGCCACGTCCCCACTGTGCCGTGATCCCATTGTGCTGGGTTTTTTTTTGTTGATTTTGTGTCGGCCTGTATAAGCGATAAAACCAAACGTTTCTTTTATTGAATACTCACTTCACATTTGGAGGTGGTATTCTTAACGTCCACACACCGATGTTGTTCCTTTGTTTATCAGTCAGTTAGTGCATACTGTCACCTTAAAAATAATCGCGACCCATTAGATTTTTGACGTCTGTCGAAAAGGATTTGTTGTGGAATATTCAAAGATTGCAATATCACGCGGCGGTATAAGTATTAGATGGTTGGGCGATGTAATTTTTTTTTATAATATATGCGTAATGGAACCATGTCCTCAGTTAAAATCTAATAAATTGTCTTTAGTTTATTACAAGAATGTCAAGTAAAACGCCCGATCCGCCATTTATATCAAGTTAACGTTATTATTAACTTAACGTTTAAGTAAAGAGTTGAAAGGTCACTCTGGGAATCTAGAATTCATTAGTTTATTTTTTCAAGTTGCTCGCCTATGCTAGGGAGGTTTAACTCAAAGAAACCGGCCACACTTTTAATACCCTTTGTCTTCGACAAAAAAATTATATTTTCTTGCCAAGATACAATTGTATCATTGCGGTATAACTACACTACTATTTTGTATTTTAAATACTTACAAAATAATAATATAATTATATTAGTATTTTAATTTATCTTATTGAAAATGATGTTTAATACAATATATTGTAAATATATATAGTATTTCATACACGTGTGGGAAATTTTTATTTTGACTAGAGACAACTTTGGTACCACTGTAGCGGCAAAACATTTAGTTTCGAATTATTGATAAGTGGGGGATAGATAATAAAATATAGCTTGAACAACGGGAGGAAGTGGCAGGCAACGGTAAAGTTATTATAGTTTTTTACATTTAGTTAATTATTGCGACCCATCTGGTGTATTAGTTGGTATGCAAGGTTGGATTACGCGATTAATTATTTAAAAGCAAATAATTTATATTTTTTATGGTTTACTTTAATTAATTTTGCCCATCGCTGTGCTTAAATAGTAGTTAAAAGTATACTTTCATATTATAATTTATTTTTATTATCAAAAAAATGATAATTTATTTAAATAATATAACTAAATACTGGTGCCTCAATATTGTGACATAGATATCAAATTCGGATCTTGATGAATATTCATAGTACAAAAGAGTTATTATATAATGATGAATTATCGAACAGTTGTAAAAATATTGTGGTTTCACAGTGTATTTGTCAATTTACATTGCATTTTCTGTAAGTATTATAATAAAGTTTTTACTCAACTTTTAATGGTAGTATCTAATAAACATTTTAAAGAATCAATACATGTTTTAAAATCTTTGTAGATAGATTTTTTATAATTGCTTGGTCCTTCAGGACTAATGCTGGGGATTCTAATAATGTAATATATGATTTGTAAAAGTCCTTGTTTTTTATATCAAAGAATCATTTTATTAAGGTTATTGTATTTAATGTATTTTCTGCAAGGCAAATGAGCCTGGGCTTACATACATTAAAAAGGGCTCAATATTTATAAAATTATGGAGAGAAATAGGGGTAATATACCAAAATAGGCCCATTACTGAGTATATAACAAAACAAAAGATAATGCAACTGTTAAATTCAATGTCTAGATTAAATGTGTTATAAAACTTTACCCATTTTTCATTGTAAATTTACGAAGAAATCTAATTGTTTGATTGTGAAAACCAATTGTTATAAGAATCAGTATTTTAATCATTTTTTTGTCCGTGGCAAATTTTAGGATACATTTTTTTCTTTAAAATTACAAATAAATAGTTATTTGTAATTAATTCTATTGTTTATTAGTTAACCTAGATTACTTTTTTTTTTTGAGTAAAGCTAAATATATCATTAATATTATTTATGAATTAATGACAATTTTAAATAATATTAATAATTGATAGAGAACATTCTTCAATATTTATGTTTCAAATTAATCAAATGTTTTTTTCTTCAGACTTTTATAGTATATGAACTTTTCATGAGTTTAAATTTTGAAATATTAGAATTTTTTTTTATCTTATGGGTTCTCAAAAGCCTAGCGATGATCTTTATAAGACACATTATACAGTTTATTTTTAATATTTGTTATAATTCCATATCTGATGAAAATAAAGATTTTACTTTACACTATCAATATTTAACTGTAACCTAGAAAAAGAAATACTTTTTACATTTTTAGTGGGATTTTATGATATAAATACATACAAATATTTGATTAATACTTCAAAATATCAATAAATATACAATTGAATTTAACATAGTTAGATAGCTCAAATTAAATTTGCCATTTGCAAAATAATAAACTACTTTTATTCTTTTGCCATGTGTGCTGAGTTGAGCAGATGTATTGTATCATGTTTATATATATGTATATAAAGACTTCAGTGCCTCCTACACAGACTAATTAAAATATCAAATTTGATTTCAAAACTACTTTTATTTCTTTTATTAATGTTAATTTTCTATTATTATACGCTTAGCGCTTTAAATTATTGTCTTATACAAGTAAAAATTGCATTTTTGAAGTTTCAATGAAACTGCTTAACTGAAGGAAAAACTAAAATAAAGATATTCTTTGAACAAATACTTTATTAAACCTAATCTAGAATGAATAGGCTGATAATTCTATCCAAAAATGACAATTAAACTAAGGTATTAAGAAATTGGTTCAATGCGAAAAGTTGTTCGATTTGAATAGTTTAATTTTCAAACCCAACTAAACCTAATCTAATACTTTAAATTCGGTTTTAAATATTAACAATTTTGAATATAATTTTGATTATATTAAATTTGATATGTCTTATTAAATAATTTTCACTTTAATTTTAAAATTGATAAGGTAAATCGAAATTAAAATTTAAAAAAATATAAAATGGTCATTAAAAGTGTTGCATGTTTAGTATTCTGAAATTACACAGTTTTTAATATAGTCGTATTAAATATTTAATAATAGAATCTCGTTTAAATTTGCTCGTGCTTAATAAAAATATGTAATTTGGTGTAATTATATTGTAATTTTAAAGGATGGGATTTAACTTGCAAATATTTTTTTTTGTATTTAATCAAAAGTTCTTAGTATATAACATTAACCACTTAAACACTTACATCATGAGTATCTATACGATTTCTTTATTTCCCTAAGAAAATTTATGAATTATATCCTTTAAGACCTAACCGATCATATTTCACATTATAAAAAAAAGGAACAACAGGGTTGCTTTGTAATCTGACTAAAAGAATACTATTATTTTCTCGTTATTACTCATCATTCCGCATCATTTAATACACCTTTATACTTTGACAGTTGTTAGCAATTTAGAGCTGAATTATAACATAGGTGTGTATTAAACGTTTTTTATAAGTTCTTATTTCACTTTGTAAATTAAGTATCAAATATACTTATTTTATACGTATTTTTTTCACATTTGCTTGAGCAACATATTATAGAGAATATAATGTATTTTAGTTGTAAAATTACAATAGAAAGTTAATTTTAAGTGGTTGTCATTGATTAACTCCTGATATAATTGAAAAAAAAAAGGTTAGAACAAGTGTTCCATTTTATTTTCTCACTGCTTCTCGACATTTTTAATTTCAAGCATATGGATAATTTTTTTAACAAATATTTAATTCTTGTATTTTTTTATCCCTCGTACATTAAATTACACTTCCTCTTATTATCATATGTGGATTACAATAATTTTTTAACACTGTAATTGTAATAAGCGTAATAACTGTGTTGTTTTTATGTATATTCACATTTATATTATAACATACATTTATTTATATTCTAGTTTTTATTTATTACTTAAATATTAAGAATTTCTTACAAACTTGAGTGTTTTTCTAACTATATAAATACTAATTATATGATTCCATAATATTTTTATAATTATAGTACAATTATTTGTTATCAATCGTGTTTAGTTTATTACACCGTCGTTCAGTACTGAAATTGTCGATTTTAATGATTGTGGTGACGTCGAATATATAATTTACAAATAATTTCTTAATCTGGCACTTACAATATGTTGTTAGGAAATATCAAATTATTTTAGCCAATCTGGACAATATCTTATTACACATTACACTTTAATACACTTTATTACACTTTTGTTAATATTTGATTTTTTATAATCAGAACAGACTTAGAAAATATTTCGTAATTTTGAAACGCTGTCAAAATAACGTACTAGAGGTATATAAAACTATAACATATATTTATATTAATAATAAATAATAAATTAGCAATGAATTTAAAACTTAATTTTTTATTAAAGATAGCGTCGGGTCCTTGGAAAAAATTTGACCTTCGATTTTAATATCAAAACAATTACTAATTTTAAATCTAGATTATGTACTAGATTATAAAGTTAAAATGATATAATAATTTTATCGCGTATGACTTAACAAAATTAGTTCTTATGAATTAAATAGATTTTTGTATTATTTGTATTTTATATGCAATATTTCATTGCATTTCGCCTAAAGTCAGTATTAATTTCTATCTAATGCATTCATTTCTTTATGTTTTTCGTCATTAATCAATTTTAATTCTTCTTCAAATTCATATAAAATTGAATAAATTTTATTTAGAATGGTTTTTACTAGAATTGTGATTATCACGCGTATATTTATAGAAATAGATAAGTTATTGAATAATTCGTTTAATTCATTTAATTCATTTTATTCATTTTTTCTCTTAATTTTCCTTTTTAATAGAAGTTTTAAAAAATTGTATGTAATTGATTATACGCCACATAATTCAATGCACAGATAAAAACATTGTCGTGTTGAAACATACTTTAAAAATATGCCAATCTCACAGAATAATATATAACAGCATTATGATGGATACCAGCTAGATTTGTCATTAGATGCAGCATGTCTTGTTCTTTGTTCGTTCACACAACCCGTTGGCTAATTTATTGATAACCATCGAGTTTAATTCTTTGTTGGAATTAACGTAGTCTATACAATATAATCTACTTTATAAGTGCAACGTCACATTAAACTACGTCAAGATGTTTCTATGTTTACATAAAATACTGAAGAATAATCTGTAATCGAGTAGTCGAGTAAGGACCCTTAACCAGACATTGTTCTAATTTTAAACAACATGAATAGCTGTCATTTGAGTGGTAATAATAATTATTATTCATCGGAAACATAGTCTTAGAAATGTAATAAAAATCAAAAAATATCGTGAGTCATAAGAAATGTGTCATCTTCTCGGATACTCTGCACGGAATCAGTAATTACGTGATTAACCTTTTGTTTTTAATACATGTTTCTTTTTGACAATAGCGTATGAAAACCCTAATTAATAGAAACAATATATATTCTTATTATTGCTATTTTTTTTTTTTTTTAATTTTCAATGACATTATTTTGTTTATATAAATTCAGTTTTAGAGAGCTGTCCAAAAAGTATCAATTTATTTTTTGTTATAAGCCAATTCATCAATTTTTTTCTTAAAATCATTGGTTTAAAAATGTTTCTTTCTAATAAGGTAATTTTTGTTCAGTAACTAAATGATACTTATGTAGTAATACTTTTGTTTATTACCGCTTGATTTAAAATGTGAATATTTTCCAGGCATGTTTAGTTTGGCTAACAATATGTTTTTCAGAACGTTTGGTCAAAAATTCACATCTCATTTATAAACAAAACTCGTCCAGAGAAAGCTAAACAAAGGTATACGTGTATGTAAAAAATGAAAACGAGTTGCATTTTGTTTCCCTGTATTATAATGTTATGTCATACCATATGGGTCGTTGCTATAAATAAAATGTACCCTATATGAGCCTTCAAACAGTAAACATTCCGCTTGTTGTGAGTGAAACCTATACGGGTGTTTTACTTCTATAATTTTGTCGAAAATTAATACTTGGTTAACTTTTTACTTTGCTTAGCCAAATACTTTGATATTAAAAGTAGACAATCGTATAATTTTGGGAATAATCACATACATGCCAAAAAACTGGGATCAACTGTACTTTTGATTTTTTTAAATATGGGCATAAGCCAGACAAATGTTATCAAACAAAGTACAAGTTAAAACTAAAATGAAGAAATTTTTGTTATAATAATATGTCTTAATTTTGTACATATATGTAGGTCTATTAGGTACGTTGTAATATTTACAAGTTCCGAGGTTTATGAACTTCTCTGTTTTATTATTGCTTTTTAAAAATAGTAAATAGGAAACAAAACATTAGTTTATTACTTTTGGGGTATGACCTAAAGTATTAAGTGTTATATTTAAATAAAGCATTATTTGTTTTTTCACTGGTAGTTAGTGAGGTATTTTAACCTTGGTTTTATAAATTGAAAATAATAATATCATGTTAGCAAGCTGTTTCATTAAAAAATGTTTTACTTTATCCATATCCAATTAAAAACCTACAAAATACTTGGTGCAATTATATTTGTTATTATTCAATTAACTATTGTCGTACGTATTGAGTGTAAATGTAAGTATTTATACATATAAAGTAGAGGTTCACTTGGTCGTAGAATAGCACTATCACACTATAAACATAAAATAAACTGAAAATTGTGGAATAAAATCTATATTGATAATTCAAAAGATTCAATCGCCTATCAACATATTTAATAATATATAAAAGTCGTAGTTAAATACTCGTTTGCTTTTTATTATGCACAAAGATTGTAGGCGATGTCAGCCAGATTTTGTTTAAATAGTAATAAGCAGTAATAGTTTACAATCTGGTTTGTGTACACATTGTATTGATTGTAGTTATTATATGACAGATGTTTTGCCATCGGATTGGTCGTTTTTGATCTTTAATTAAACAAAATGTTAATTATATATTGAGTAGTCGATCAAACGATACATCCATACTCCTTAAATTTGTTTACTTGCTAAATAATAGTAACTAGTCATTTTTCCAGTAAATAAAATAAACGAAATTATTAATGATGGCCTTGTGAACGAACTTGTTTTAATGTTAATGATATTAAATTGTACTAATGTAATACGGTTAAAATTTTAAATAGAATACTAATCATCTTGATATTTCTATTTTATAGATATACATTGTTTTAAGAATTGATTTTCTATTTTGAATACACATTAAGTGGTATAACAGTTATAAAAAAATTATTTGCAAATAATTTTTATTCAACTATTATTTCGGACCAGTTCTTTAAATTTTCTAATTAATTGCTGCAAATTGTATTGATACGTTGTGCAAAATTTATTAGAACGAATTTGGTGTTTTTATGGTTTCGCATTCATCGGCGTCAATCGTAATGGANTCACTTATGGTTTCGCATTCATCGGCGTCAATCGTAATGGAATATTACACGGTCATTGACAATTAGGAAATGTTACATAGTAATCGTNTTTTATGGTTTCGCATTCATCGGCGTCAATCGTAATGGAATATTACACGGTCATTGACAATTAGGAAATGTTACATAGTAATCGTTCAATTATAATTTACAACGTCTTTATTATTATGACGTTATTTCCGTCTTATTTTAAAAAAAACTACCACTTGAGAAATTAATTGATGTATAGTTGGTAGGAGTTGATGAAATGATTACGACTCTCCGAGAAAGAAATAAGTAATCGTAATTGAATAATTACCGTATTTATGATACATCTCAAATAACTAGTTAAATAGTAAATTCGATCAACTAATTTATTTTTAACTGTTAATGTGATAAACCATGCAAAAATTATCATAATTTTATTCATATTTAATTTGATTTTTGTAATTTTTTAAATTTATTATTACTTATTTTTATAATTATGTAAATATTAGATGATACTAGTGCAACACTTTTAACTTAAAAGTGTTTATAACATAAAAATAATGTAACATTAGAGCTCTTGAACTTTGTCGGTATAATTAAAACAAAGTTATAATTTGGTTATCATATCAACATCAGGAAAAATAATAACCTAAAATAATGGTGTGAATTTATATACATGTGTTGTACAGAAAAAAATACAATTCATTTGAATCAGCAGCTGAACATATTTCCGGTCCATTGAGTTGAACGATTTTTGTTGTGTATTTTCCTCTGTGGTCTGCATGTATAATTTATTACTTACGTATTTCAATGCATAGTCATGTTTACACTTTAAATAAAGATTTTTTAAAAAGACTCAAGCAGTAATAAAAAAGTTAATTTTTTTATGAAAATGTGTTTGCTAAAATGTAAATATAATAGGCGCATAAGTATTAAATTTGCGTGATGTCAGTATTAAGATTACTTTTTATGAATTATTAAATTGATATTTTGCAATTAAAAAAAAGTTTATCATATCCAAATTTTTCATTTTAAAATAAAAAATTGAGCTAATTTTCATGGGCATTTTGAAAATTATTAATAATTTTTAGAATTATTTGAACAGTTCTTAGTTGTTCCTTGTGAAATGATAATTATTTTATACTTATTCAATATAAATATCCATGTAAATTATATTTGATTAACTATTGTTAGATTTTTATTTCTATATTTTTTGATTTATTTTTTTTCAGGCAAACAAATTAGTAAAGAATTCAGCAGTTATACATTGATCGAACCAAAATTAATCCACACAAAGCATAAAAGAGAAATTCATTCAACAAAAACAAATCCGGTAAATATATTATCACATCATTTTTCATTTATTTCCTCCTAGCCAATTTATTTCATCACAGTTTTATTATCAATTTTTTATTTGCATATACACAAAATATTGCAAATTTATTGTGTATGATGCTGATGCATATAAATATACCGAAAACTGCATACTTCGTTTAAAAAGCTATCATATTTTTTAATGTAACTGTTCTTTAGAAAAATTGATTGCTCTGGATTTTCAAACGATACCGAGTAATATTCTTCTTTCTCATTATAATTATAGTCAGCTACTTCAAAACTTGTAATTTAGTTCCGTTTTTAGTTATTTAGTTATGATTTTTGAGAAATGAGACCAACAATCGTAAATTACCAAGAAATAAATGTGTTAGCGAAATAAATTGTTACTTTATTATTTAATTTTAGTGGTTTTGGAACTTAATAAGTTAGGCACATTTGAAATATAAATTGAACTAACATAATAACTATTTAATGTAATTTTTGTTCACAATGTTATTTTAAAACTATTTTTTGATATTTTAAGTTTACCTTCGCGGACAGTAGGAATCAACAATGCGCAAACGTGTAACCTTACAAAGTGAGAGGTTAAGGATTTTCATTCCGCTTATAAACGTTACTCTGTAATGCGTTCAAATTAAAATGCAGTCTTGGGTCTCTGTGTGTTTACTATAACATATTTCATGAGTCATTTTTAATACAATTGTTTGAATACCTGGATATTATTCAGGTATCATTATAACACAGCTCCACAAAAAACATAAATTAAGCACTTTTCTTTCGATTTTTTTATGGAGCTGTGTAATTAAATTATCTAAAAACGGGGAAATTGATAAGTGTACAATGAGAACAGTTATTCATAAAAATATTTAATTAACGCTTCTTAAATTTTTGTTAATGACTTAAGAGTTTCTCTGTTATTTTTTCTTAAAATTGTTGTATTTTACTGATTTATGTATACGGAGTGTCTTAGACCTATCTGACAACGCTTATAACTTATAACTTTTAATACAATTATTATTTTGTTGAAATTTTTTTTAATGTAGTTGTTACCTTCTTAGACTACGTTTATAGCATATTTTTTATTATTTATCACTAATAAAAAAAATAGGCTGAAGTGAAGTATATATAAATGAATGGGTACTCGTAAATATATTTTTTCTCTTAGAATATTTAACATATTTAATTTTAGATTAAAAAATGGTTTTTAAATTTGTTGCCATCATATTAGATATAAATTTGAAATAAAAACTTGTACATTTATCTAAACAAATGTATTTACAACTATCCCTTTTCAATTTTTAATTATTTTTTTACAAATAAATTGTTGTTGTCTTCGGACATTGGCCCTCTTGTTCTCACTTAATACTGCTTGCTAAAGAGCATTAAAATACATAAAGTGGGTAGGGAGGGAACTCAGGTGGAGTATACAAACATCAGTACGATCTGTACCTAACCTAATCCGTGCTACATACTCACTACGTGTATTAAATTTCTTGTAACTCAATGAGTACTAGTTCTAAAATTGTTTTTTTTTTAATTTTTGTAACAAAAGACTAAAAAATGGCTATTTTGAAATCTTAAAAAAAAAATGTATTTCTATTTTTATTAGTGATAAATAACAAATAATACGCTTTAAATGTAGTTTAAGGAGGCAATAATTATATTTTAAGAAATGTTTATTAAAATGAAAATTATTTCAAGAATTATAAATGTTGTTAGTTATATCTGAAATGCTGTATATAGAATATTCCATTAAATCAACATAAATCCCAGGTGTGGTTTCCGTCGTTTATCTTAGATAAAAATATCTTGCCGTACCCTAATTTTCATAAAAGAACCTACTATATTTTCGTTTTTAATAATTTTATTGGGTTTACTATTTTTCACACTATTTTATTTATAAGCAAATAGTACTAATTATCAACAATTGAATAATTATAACGAGGTCTACGAAGAGATTTTGTGTTATGATATTGTCGAGTAATATTAGTTTATTATGACGCAGAGATCGAATAACAGATATATAAGATATCACTGAGAATTAACAGCTAGATTCATTTATAAAATAAAAATGAGTGATTTTACTCATGTCGTGTACAAAACAACGTTAAGGTCATTAGATATAACCAATTAATACAGAGTGTGAACCATTTTATCTTAATGTCCAATCTCAACATATATTTTGATTTTCTTTTTCTCCTTTTATATAATTTAAAACTTGTAAATTATTGCAAAAATTTATAAAATAGTAATAAAGTCGTGTTATGTGATTTTAAATAACACTATTATACTGTGATCTCATAAATATGACATTGACTAGTTTGTTTTTATTTAAAACTTGGCAAATGATTTACACTTAATATATTTTATGTGTAAAGTTCATAGAGAAATATTTCATTGTCTATTTTTGACAATAAGAAATAAATTCATACAAGAATAAAAGGATTTCATATAGTTTAAGGAGGATAAACTCTAATAATTACATTTTTTATAACTCTAAACATGTATATACTTTATTTTGAAAAGATAAAATAAAGCCTTCTAAGAGGCTTGAGAGCTTTTCTTATTTTAATATTTTTACAGTAGCATCTAAAATTTTATTAAAAAATAAGGGAAGTCATGAAAATTTTTCTATTTTTGCTCTCTCAATAGGAAGACGGTATATTATTTATGAATTCCTTTCGATGTGAGTATGTGTTATTACTAACAAGTAATTTTCACTACAGGAAACTGTAGTCTTATTTTTTAAATTATGTATTATTTATGTTGAAATATTTCAAATAATATATTATTTTATATATTTATTTTAAATATTATAATAATATATTATTATAATATTTCAGTGAAAATATCTATTTAATATTATCCATTATTATATTCAATGTTTATTTAAAATATTTCAGTGAATTAGTATATATTATTTAAATTATATAAATCATCCAATATTTTTTGTAATATTAATTTATAAATGATTATAAAGGTAATTATTATCTTACATTTCTTTATCAATAAATCAGTCATATCGTAGTTAGGTGAGGTGATATTCATGGTAATTAACAGCCACTGAAAACATACACTGGCGTGACTCGTATAGTAAGACCATACATATAGTCTTTATATGTATAGTGGATGTCTTCAATTATCCATTTCATTAATGTATAATTTATACATTTCTCTATTCATTCAAGAAAATCGATTTGTACATTTTGAGTCACGAGATTTTTTTAAGAGATAATTAAAATAAAATTGCCTATTTATAGGAAATTAGAACAACTGTAAAAACATATGTATGTTTCCTGCATTTAACTAAATTTTAATACAATTAAAAATGATTACCTTGATAAAAAATTATTATGTTATGTTTATTTGTATTCTATTAACTATATATAAAAACGATAAACGTGTATTAATTATAAACTAAGCAATCTTTACAAAACGGTTATACATTAGCAAAATATTTTAGCGTGCCAATAAATTATCTTTTAAACATTTGTCAGTCTAGACATCTGTTAAATTAATATTAATATGAACAATTAACGAAAAATTATGTCCCGCCGACTTAGACCGGATATCCTATAACTTAAATTTTGATTGCGCGAGGCCATTGTACTTTTTTCAAATGATTGTATGGACTTTGCAAACTATATGCAGGTCTGATTGTAAAAATGTTAGAATACAGTAGTTATATTTTATATCAGTGTGTTTATACAGGTAAATAATGGTACATATCATGGTAAAAAATATTGAATTTCATTATGTTCATGTTATTACAGTATTGGTAATTAGGACTAGGAAACACTATAAAAAAACTCATTTGATTAATGTATCCAAAAAAATGCCTTTGTAATCTAATATTTTATGTTCCGATTTATTTAATATTGTCATGATAATACAACAATTTTTATGTATACTTTAATATTTTAACTAATAACATTATTGATTATGTTTCAAATTTTTCAGTACGAACTTAAACATATTAATGATATTACTCTAAATTTTCATGAAAATGGAAAAGAATACATTCTTGATCTCAGACTAAACAAGTAAAATTGCATGATTGTAATACGAGTGTATTTTATTAATTAAAGTATTATAATTTTAGAGACCTGATACCAGCTCAATATTTTGAGAAACACCAAAAAAATGGATCACAAGTGATAAACAAGCCTCACTCCAATGTAATATTTTTTAATTATCTCTATTTATTTATATTTAATTATTGTATAAATATTTTTTATTCTGTAGGAAATCGAGTTATGCCATTATAATGGTATAGTACGTGGTATGCCTGACTCTTGGGCTGCTATCTCTACTTGTGATGGCGTTAGGTCAGTTAATTGATATAAAAGCATTTTTACTTTAAACTTTTTGATTTATTTAATTTTTTAATTTATATAGAGGAATGTTTTCTGACGGTGAAACATTTCATTACATAGAAAATCTTATTCATGATTCTGGTTATAAATATCACGTGCTTTATAAACATAGTGATTACAAAAATGATCTCAACTGTGGTAAGATATAGCTGTAATTATTTAATTTGTATTATAATTTAAAATGTTTTCTTTTTTTTTATAATGCAGGTTTTCCAACTGGTCTACATGGGCTCAATCAAAGTATAACTAAACGTGTATGTTGAAATTCAAATTTAATCATTACCATTTTTGATTTTATATTTAGTATTTTATATAGCAAAGTTAAAATTATTAGAATGATAGTATAGAATAATTACTTTTATTAAATTTAAATTTGTATTTTAGACGTAAACATCAGAAGTCATATTTAAAAAAAATGTGATTTGTGATAGTTTTTTTACAGAAATAGTAGGTGGATGTACGGAAATAATACATATTTCTTTTAGGAATCAGGTAGATTTTTATTGGGTTCTACAGAAAAAAAAAATTATCTTAAAAATTAAAAACCTATTTATTGTAGTATCATTAAAATACTATGTGTATAGTATTATCACTTATTTGATTGATTTGAGTATTTACTTTTTTATTATTCAGTCAAAAAGAGACACTCAGTATGTTAAAGGACCATACAATGAAAATGAAAATTCTCGGTATATTGAGTTAGTAATTGTAATAGATCAAGATGAATATAAATCATTAAATAGCGATTTACCCAATGTCTACAAACATGCTAAAGATATTGCTAACATTATTAATTCTGTAAGTATTAATTATCAATATTAAAGTGAAACAAATAATTTAAACATAATGACTCAAAACTAATATTGTTCCAGTTGTATATGCCATTAAACTTATTTATTGCGCTTGTTGGTGTTATTGTGTGGAGTGATTTTAATGAAATTGTAGTATCTTCAAATGGTGATACTACACTCACAAATTTTTTGTACTATCGCCGTGAAAACCTAATAAAAAGCCATCCAAATGATAATGCTCAATTACTCACGTAAGAAAATAACCTAACTTATAGATTTGTTGTTATATTAAACTGTTATAAATTTTTTTTTTCCAGAAAAGTACAATTCGAAAATGGCATTGTAGGAAAAGGTTTAAAAGGCCCTATTTGTACTTATGAATTCAGTGGGGGTGTCAATAGTGATCACAGTTTTGTAGTTGGCCTTGTTGCAACAACAATAGCTCATGAAATGGGTCATAATTTAGGAATGGAACATGATACAGTAGAATGTGAATGTCCTAATGATAGATGTATTATGGCTCCATCTTCTGGGTATGCTGTAAATTTTCTTTTGCTAACTTTCAATGGGGGTATTATTGATTATTTGCTATTTTTTAATATATAATATTCCATGTTTCTCAATAAATATTATGATTTGAATCTGTTAATCCTAGGGATATGAGTTTTTACTTCTTTAGCTCAAGCTTATTTTCTCTTTACAAGCTTTTTATACTATCTGTACATATGGACAATAGACATTTGTGAAAATTATAAATCTTGATATTAAACTGAATCTAAACCAAATATTAATTTTAATAATTTTCAAAATAAAACATTCTTTACGTCTGCACTTTGGGTCAAAAAGGGCCTATCTACAAAAAAAAAAAATTCTATTTTAAAATAACAACTATATACTTAAGTGTGTTAGCTACATGATTTAAGTTTCCTCTAGTAAAATGAGAGTTCATTTTTAAGGCGTAACTCAGATAATATTTCCAACATACTAAGTTCTTTTTTACAGTAGTTATTTGAAAATAGAATTTTTTTTTATTATTGTAGATAGAATCTTTTTAATACAAGGTACAGATATCATTTTTAAACAAATTTACTGTAATTTTTTATTATACTAGTTTGATTTTCGAAATGATTTACAAAGAATAAGTTTGGTTCGAAAATTAAATAGTTTATACATTCCTAATAAAATTAATTTATAATAAATTTAAATTCGTATTATAGAGTAAAGAAACTTCTCATTACAAGTACTTTGCCATAAATAAGCAAAACAAAATCAATAATTTAAAAAAATAAACAAATGGTATTACATTTTTTTCAGTTCCTCGAGTCCAACTCATTGGAGTTCTTGTAGTATGGAGTATTTAGCATTAGCATTTGAGCATGGGATGGATTACTGTTTGAGAAACAAACCAGAAAAGTAATTTTCTTGTCTCAGCTTTTTTTATATTAAATAAATTTCTCAAATTTGCCTATTAAAAAAAAAAATAGATTATTTGAAAGTCCTGTTTGTGGTAATAATTTTGTTGAACCTGGAGAACAATGTGATTGTGGCTTAAAAGATAAATGTGATAATCACTGCTGTAATCCAGAAACATGTATGTTTTATCCAAATGCCACATGTGCTACAGGAAAATGCTGTGATTTAACTGTGAGTTAATAAAAATATTTATTAGTAAATTTGATTTAATTATTTTCAAAATTTAATAAATTACTAGACATGCCGTCCAAAAGCTATTGGTTTTGAATGCCGTGAAGCCACACATGAGTGTGACCTTCCTGAATACTGTTCTGGAGACTCTGAGTATTGCCCAGAAAATGTTTTTAAAATTGATGGGACAGACTGTGATAATAATAATGTAGGTATAACATCTCGGGGATTCCAATATATTTTAATTACTAGTGGTAACCTTTTTTAAAATTAAAATTAAATTTTCTTTTATATATATATTTTTAGGCATTTTGCTATCAAGGATCTTGTCGTACCCATACAAATCAGTGTCGCTTATTATGGGGACCCACTGGTGAATCATCACCTGTCCAATGTTACAAAATGAACACCAAAGGAACACGTCAGGGTAATTGTGGTTACAACCGATTGTATAAAAACTACACCAAGTGTGATAATGAGTATGTCATTAAATTAAAAATTTAATTCATAAATATTTATTAGATATGATTATTTTTAGTGATGTTAATTGTGGTATGTTACATTGTAAACACAAAAATGAACGTCTAGAATTTGGAATGGAGACAGTTTCTATTGTGTCTAACTCGTTTATAAACACTGGGGGAAATCTTATACCTTGTCGTACAGCTATTGTAGACTTAGGACTTAATGAAATAGATCCTGGTTTAACACCCAATGGAGCTAAATGTGGTGAAAATATGGTAAGTATTTTAAGTTAAATATAGTAAATTTTCAATCTATTATTTCTTCTTATTATATGTATATTATTTATTTATTATTACTGATTACTTATTAATTATTTTTAATCATATTATACACTACATTTTAATTTGATTGTTAGTGTTAAATTAAATATTTTTTTTAATTAGATGTGTGTTAACCAAAAATGTATGGCTGTAACTGACCTGAAAGCACAAAATAAAGTGTGTCCATTCAATTGTAATGGGAATGGAATGTGTAATAATAAAGGAAATTGTCATTGTAATCTTGGATATGCTCCACCATATTGTGATCAACCCGGTCCTGGTGGAAGTAATGATTCTGGTCCAGCATCTAGCCCTAATAGTAATAAGGATTCATCCTCTCAGAACAATGACAGTGGTTTTAATTTATTTTCAATTTCAGCTAGCAAAGGTTTTCTCACGGGACTATGTGTATTAACTCTTGGGGCTATACCTCTTTTACTAGCTGTTCTCTTGTTTTCTTATTGTTCTAAACATCAACGTCCAGTAATAGATTGGAATAAAAGTAGCCGAAAAAAGTTACCGTATGTATTTAGTAATTTTTCCTTTATTCAACGTTTGCGACAATTGGTCGGTGGTAATGGTGATGGTAGTAGTACAGCTGGCACTGCTAAATCTACTAGGCCTTTACATAGTATAAACACAGTATCATCGTTGGTATCACATTATGATCATGATGACTTATATGATGTATACTCAATGCCTTCTGAAGCTAGTAGTTATTACCATTGTAATATGCCCGAGCCTATATATGACACAATAGATGAAAATGTTTACACTAATAGTGCATGTATTGATTCACAGTCTAACTATACAACAGACACACTGAAATCCCGTTTACAAAAAAAAGATATAGTTATCAGTAATTTGACTTCTACAACTAATCCTCAAGTCAATAGTTATTTACAAGATGGTGTTTGGGGTTCCCAAAATTAATAAATTATCATAAGACTCTTATTTCTATAATAATAGTATTTTTTTAAATATATCTATTTTTTTTTTTAGCAAAATTGCTTGTACCAAATATTTTAAATACAAATTAACTCTATTTTTGATTTTAGGGTATTTATACAAATATTCTATATTACTTAATTATTTTCAAGTTTATCATTAAAATATAATTATTATTTAAATATAATATTTATATTGCAACTAATTTTGTAGTATTTGTACATGTATGTAACCTAATTCAATGTCACATAGCTAAAACTAACACTTAAGCTTACTCAGCTTTATTTATAAGAAAGAATATTTTTCTAAACTCCTTTTATTTAACGGTTTTTCATTTTACAGTTGATTTTATTTTGTGTAACTTTTTGTGCTAATATTATTTTATAAACTGCATGATACAAGCTTTTTAGTCATATTAAAAATGTGTATGGTAAACTACAATTACATATATCTAATTATTTTAAGATTAATTTATTTTATAAAAATTATTTGAAGAATTGAGGTATACTTGTGTAATTTTGCTTCACACACACACAAAATTAGATATATGCTATAGCTGTTTTTCTCTTTAAAAAAATAATTTTATGCTATTTATGTTGTTTTTTTATCTTATGCAACTCAATTTTAACAATTTTCTCATTTTGTGTCAATAGTACTGATCCAGAAATTGGTAAAAAACCTAATAGAACATTATCACCATCAAGTAAACCACTTGTGAATAATCCAAACTCATTACTTCGAAGTGATTTCTTAGGCACTCATAAGAATTTTACAATTAAACCTTTAGCACCACCTCCTCCTCAACCTATTGCCAGTTCTTCTTTAACACCCATTAGACCTGCACCAACAGCACCTCAATTAGAATTGTCAGTAGAAAAAACTGAAAAACTTCAAATTGGACATCCAATATTAGATGACACTACTTCTACTACAGTGAGAGAATTAGTATCAATGCCACTTAAACCTGCTCCGCCTATACCTATGATAGTTAATAAACAGCCAATTGTTTCAACTATGGCTCCTGATACTAAAATTATTGACACTGATAAAAGCAATAATAATTATCCAACATTACGCCGAATAACTTCTTTTATGAAAAATCAAAAGACTGATGAAAAAAAACAAACAATAGTAAAAGCTAATACTAAATTTAATAAAGAAAATTTGAAAAATATAGAAATATCACAGCCAATACTTCAGAATGAAATCAATGTTCCGTCCAACTCTCTGCCATTAGAAGAAGATCAACATAAAGCTGTTGTTTTAAGGGCTCATAGTTTACGTTACAATAATTCTGTTAAACAAAGACCATCTATTCCGAATTTTGGGTCAATGCGTTCATCAAAAAGACCTACTAGTATTGTAGCTACAACTAGACCCACTGTTCCTCCACCTCCTCGACCTCCTCCCTGTACAAACAATGGTTATCAAGTCCCACCAAATCGAAATGGTTTCAATGAAAATGTTACAGAAAACATTTATTCAGTGATTGATGAAACAACATCACCATTAAAAACTGAAGAAAATGTTTATAAAGTACCCAGAACACTAGAAAGTTCACTACTTGGAGAAATTGTGTCAGCAATACAAGAACGCAACCAAGAGTCAATTTACACTAATAAATCTGATGACAATGACAGTAGTAAAAATTGCCAGCAAACATATGAAAACATAAGGCCGGCAGCACCTTCAAAAAATACAAGTTACAATCTATCAATTAATCAATCTAGTTCTGACGCTCAATCAGCTGCAATTCATAATCGGCCGGATTTGGTAAAGAACTGTGATGATATTCGATTAATGAATAATTCGCCAGATGTGTTAGATGCCAAACCTGTTGAAAAACATGTAATAATCAAACCTAAGGTAGCCATGAAGCCATCATCAGGAACGGCTACTATTGGTTTAAAGAAAAAGCTTAATAATAATCCTTCAAAGGTAGCTAACATACAAAAAAAATTTGATAATTCAAATACTACTAAATCAATGTTAAATAGATCTAATATAACAACTAAAATAAGCCAACCTAATAATAGATAGTAATCCTATATTAACCTTTGTATGCTTTATATTGCAACTGGTTATACCTAAATTTTTAGTTAATAAAAATCTTTTAAATTTATTTTATCATAAATTATGATAGTTCCAAAACTTCTATTGATAACTCTATTATATAAAGATATTATAGTTTTGTGTTTTAAAAAAATCATGTATTATTCTTATTATATGCGTGGTGCTTTCTTTTTAAATAAAATTTTAATCCAGTGACTAGGTTTTCTGTCAATAACCCAGTGTAGACAATATGATTTTTGTGTAAATTATCTCCTTGTTTTAAATATTGTTTCTAAATTAATTTAAATTAATAAAAAAAAAACAAAAATGTGATAGATTATAATTTTTTTGTTTGTGATCAATAATTTTAAGTTTTTTAAAATTATTATTACTTTTATTATTTTATTTGTTTCTTGTTTCTCTACTAAATAAACTCTTTTCTTATTTTTACACTGGAACTATTAATTTGTCAAACTAAGAATAATGTTTTCTTTGATCTGTATTATAACTTTCTACTTTATGCTCATTACTAATTGAACTTCTACTTATCAATATAAATAATACAATTTCGAAATTACATTTTCTACTAGTCATTATGTTAACTATAATAAAGTAACTATTGCTATTAGTACACATTGTGTTCATTTTATATTGTATACATTTTTATTTTGACTACATAAACTACATTTTTTTTTCTTGGTTTTAAAAAACATTGTTTAACAAATATAATCTTAAATGGATATTTAACTTCACAATTCTATTTAAGTTTTTTTAAAAGACAGTTTTGTTATTGATGCCAAAGGCACATGTTCCTTGTAGTTTGTACTTTTTATATACTTTTAAAATTATTTGTACATTTATTTTTATTATTTTGTATAATATGTTAATATGTATCAAAATATTTATTTTATTATTTTTTATGTTATTATTGAGTTATAGAATAATAAATTTATGAAAACTATTTTGTGATATGTATAAATTTTGTAAAATAAATTTTATATAATTTATTTGTTCATTGTATTCTTGGAATAAATTTCTATCAAAATTCTGTATTATTAATATAGGTTTTAATATTTAAGCTTCGATGTAAATCTGAGAAGGTATTAAATGTACCATGATGTGTTTTTTTTTTTTTATGTCTCGCCACTTTTTCTTAGCTCTTACTGATGAACAGTTTCCCTCGTTCCCTGTAAATGAATGAAATCCCCTCAAAAATTATAATTTTTAAAATCGCTAAAATTTGACATTTTTTTTCTTAAAACTGCGATAATCTTCTTTAAAAATGAACGTACTAAAATAATTTTTTTAAAAGGAAACCTTACGTATTTCCCTTTCATTTTGATATCAATTTTTTAAAAAAACTGACCCTTGCTCACAGAGGGGTATTCATAATAGTGAAACTTTTTCACAAAATTCAATGTTTTTAATTTTACCTATTAAAATTTTCCGGAAATACTGCTTCCTTTATACATATATTAAATAAAAGCCTGTTACGTACTACAAAATAAATAAACAAAATTTGTCCTGACGATTTATTTTCTATGTACAAATGGCAGCCATAGTTAAAAACATGCTATTTTTGTGGTCAAATTTTCAATTTCATGTTTTCAACTTTAAATTGCTACAACTTTTTGAAAATTGAATGGATCAACACTAATTTTTATATACCCCGGAGGCGTTCAAAACTTATAAAAAGTAGAACTTTTAAAAATGTTCCGAAATATTGCGCTTTTTAAATATATGTTAAATTAAAGCTTATGTAACATACCATATATTAATAAAAATCTGTTTCAACACCTAATCTTCTATGTGCACATGGTCTTCGAAGTTGAACAAATTTATTAAATATTTAACATTAAATAAATTTAAATTATTAAATATTTATTCATATATTACTTATATTTCATAAAACTTAAGATCAGAATATAAATTAGAAAATAGGAGTTCATTCTGTTTTTAGAATAATTCATGGATTTCCATGGAAGTATTTCTATGATAGTGATTTTAATCACTGTCAAATAACATGTATATTTGTTTTAATTTGTTATAATTTGTAAATGTTTAACATTTTTATAGGTTTTTCCATATAGAACATACTTAAAAAACTGCAAATACTGTCAATAATAATAATTCTAGTTTAGCAATATTTTAAAGTCTAAATAAAAACATTTTTTGATATTTAAAATTAAAATTTATTTACATAGTCATTACTATGAAGTATAAATTATATATCTATCACAAATGGTATAAACAATTTATTTAATTGTATTAATTATTAATAAATTAGATCTAAGTCTTAACATTCACAATAGTAAAATTATAGTTATAGTCAAGAAATAATATCCAATGATTACACTATACAAAATAAACTTTTTACAATCTAGTCATAAATAATTGATAAAGTGAAATATAACATGGAAATTAATAATAGTAATAAATATCTTAAATCTTTTTTTATCACTTTCTGTTACTTATGAAATTAATATTATTCATAAAATGCAACACTGTTTTTCTTTTCAACTGCAAATTTTATTCACTTAATATAAAAATAAAATAAAATGTTTCTTTTCTTATATTAATTTAAAACAAACATTAAATTAAATTATTGAATTATTATCAGTACAAATTATTTATCTAACTATAATAATTTAACATATATATTTATATAATTTACAATTTTGGTTAAATATAAAAATATGTACAATTATAATAGAAGAAAAATTGTATTATTGCCACAGATATGGATTACAGTCATAATGATAGAAAAAATTAATAATAGTCATAAGTCTTGCAATTGGCATTTTTTTTTTTACAAAATTTAAAGTAATGAAGTGCTTTTAAAATATTGAAAATAAATAATACATTTATTTTCAAAATTTATGAATGATAGATAATTATTAATTATCATCTAATTTTTATTTAAAGGAACATAATATTTACAATGCTACATCTGCTGGTGCAGTTTTAAAGCTGTCTCGTCTTTTGGGATGCCGACGCAAGGTACCAAGAACATTCATCATCTCATTTACCACTGGAGGTTCTTGTTTTTTTACTTGAGGCTTTATCTAAGATTATTATAACATAACATTTAAAATATCATAACTTATAGTGTCGATTTTATTAATTTACTTCTTTATCTGTAGCTTTCAGAGTAAACCTTCCTCCTTTGATCTGATTTATAATTGCATCTATAGCTCCTGTAAATAAAAGAAACAAATTATAAGTTATCTTATATAAACTTCAATTTTATTTTTAATGACATTAAAATGTTTACCTGACTGTACTTGTGGAGTTTTAGGTGCAATGGAAAGTCCCAGGTAATTACCCATTTCTTCTACAGCATTGGAATCATTAGTATGATTCAAAGAGTTTACTGTTTTTAATTTAATAGTTTGAAGATTGTTTGAAGAAAGTGCTCCCATAGGTGGTGGGGGTGGTACAAGTGGTATTAACATTGGTGGTGGTGGAGGTGGTGGAGGGGGAGCACAAGAAGGTGCAGCTGTTTTAGATTCTAGTTTTTTTCTTAGATCAGCGACTGTGAATAATACAATTAAATAAATAATTTCAATAATCTCCTCAACATTTTTCATTTTAGAACAAATAAATGTTGAGTATGCATACTTTGAGATTCAGCAATTTCAGCTCTTTGCTGAGAGCACATTAGTTCTGCCTCGGTAAGTTTAAGCTTTTCTTCATACAATTCAATTTGGTCCGATTCATTTTGACATTCTAATTTTTCCTGTAATCCATTATTGTATAATTTAATTCAGAACTTAAGGAATAAAATTTCAAATTGTCAACATACTTGAAGTTCTCTCAATTGTTCAGTGTTCTCTTGTCGTTCTTGGCTTAATAATCTCTGTAACTGCTCAACTTCAAACAGAAGTTTCATAATTTTTTCGTCTGATGCAGCGTCCATCATGAGTAATTGACTTTGTCGAGCAAGAACATCTCTCTCTGATTTTACCTGAATTATTAAAACCACGTGACGATTTTTGTTGCCTCGTAATCATAAATTTATTATATAAATAATTAAAAACAGGAAAAGCATTAAGGGGGGTCGTCACCCAACCAACAAATTTTTGGCTTACTCTTGAGTATTATGGCTTTGGGTAAATGGCTGTTAGCTGACAGCAGATATTTAAAAAGTTATATGGATACGATCCCTTGTTAGATATTATAGATTATTATTTATCTTTATAAATAATAATACTTTACGTTGCAATTGTAGCAATAGGTTACATGTCATTACCACAAATTAGATATCATCTATTGATTATAAAAATTATTTGATAATTTTATAGTGCATCTTATGGTTATATTTTTAATTTTAAAATATTATTTATAAGTATTTAATTTGTATTTTATATTTAACATAATTTCATTGATAAATATGAAATGCATCAATTGTTTTTTATTAACAAAAGTAAAATTATTGTGCTTGCCCCTTAAAAAAAAGACTTGTCCTTTCTCGTTTCCTTAAGGAAAAAAATTCTGGCGCAATATCTGAATTAGGGAAAAAGTAAAAAAAAAGCTTACCTTATAGGCATCATTTCTAATTTTTTCTCCTTCTTCTTTTTCTTGTTTATACCTTTTATTTAATTCTGTTGTTTCCTCCACTACTTTACGGCTTACACTTTCTAGATTGTCGTGTTTCATAATTAGTTCCTATCAAGGAAAACCTTCATTATTATTTTAGATTATGTTTTTCAAAAATATAATGATAAAGCTTCTGGCACATTAAAAGGGGTTGAAACTCATGGATATATAGATATAACTGTACATTTGTAGTAGTTCAGAGAATTTTAAAATTTTAAATTAGTATGTTCTAAAGGTTTGAAATTTTATGTGTAAATAATAAAAAATGAGTGTAGTGATTTTCTCTTTAATAATTGATTAATAACATTATAATAATAATGTTATTTTATTATTATGTAAATCATATAGAGTTTACAGTAAGTAAGGAAACGGGTTTCTATTGTTCTTATTATTTGTAACAATTGACCTGTTTCCTTACTTTTTGAACACTCTGTATACCTTGAGCTCTCTTTCGGCAAGTTGTCTGGCTCTGCGCTCTTCTTCAAGTTCAGAAGTTAAATCTACTGTTTGTTCTTGAGCCTCAAACTCTTGAAGTTTAATTTTGTTCAACTCAGCTTGTAAACGTGACACTTCTTGTGTAAGCTCTGAAATAAAACTATAGTTATTAAACTACAGTAAAACTTTATTATAATTAAGTAATAACATTATTATAGTTTTACTATGTTTTATTTATACTGTACGTAGTATATTAAATTATTTGATTGTTAAATGTTTAGTAAGAAAATAGGTCTTATTTCCCAAAAGGTTCTTAGTGACAACGAAAAGAAAAAAACTTATCATTTTTTAAATGGTTATATCTCGAGAAAAATAAAAATATCTCAACTATCAAAATATTGACGAATTAATAAAATCACCTTGATTAGGGTTTTTTAAAAAATAACCAGAAAATTTTCTTAAAATAGAAAATTAGTTATGTTGAATTTATAATTTTTATACAAATTAAATTATTTTGCGTTACTAAACAATTACTTAAGTAAGCATAAAATTTATCTTAGATAAAATATCTGTTAAGTTCTTAACACTTCATAATAGACTTAAGTTTTTTTTTAAATGTATTAAAATACCTTTGACTGTTTTTCGGAGTTCTTCCATTTCCGTGTCGTTATTGTCGTTACCATCAGTGTCGTCTTCCAAGTCTTCTAACGTCGCTGGTGCTACCGACATAACTTTTTGCATAAGAGCTGAACTTCTTCTTTTGAGTTCTCGATTTTGTTTGTACCACTGTAATCGTATAAAACGGGCGTGGATCAATTAAAATTCTAATTGATGTCTTATAACTTTTAATTAAAGAGACAGCCGCTTTTGTAGTTTACCTGTGAGGCTCGCTCAATCGCTTTGTTAAGTTGACCAGTTTCAATTTCATATTGTTGTTTTAACTGATCATACTCTTTGTACATACCTTCAGATACTATATAATGAAATAAATGAATTTTTTATTCGTCATTATTTGAACGAACAATTAATAAATTAACTCACGTTTCCTGAGCTGTTCAAGTTGTGTTGTCTTTTGCTCAAGTTCACTTTTCGTGGATTCAAATTCTGTTTTAAGTTTTAACATTTCTCTCTCCATATCAGACTTTTCCCTTATAACTGAATAATTATAAAATAAATTCAATACGATAAGACTTTACAATATTAAACACAATCAAATTTAAGAATGAAATCTATTTCGCCATAGATTTAACAAATTTAATTTTGAAAATTTTAATGATAATAGACCTGATAAAAATATTGTATAAAATAGAACTTACGATATTTAAAACGTTTTTTTATGTAAACTTAAAGAAATATATATAGAAAAAACATAAAATAGGTTCTTACGTTTTTGTGATTGAGTAAGCAAATTTTTCCGTTTGGCTTCTGTTTCTTCAAACTTCGCTTTCCACTTATCATAGCTGTCCGATGGGGAATGGTAACCATTACTAATAGAAGAAGGTGCTTGAGAAGATTTGAATTCAAATTTTGACGAAAAGTCTGTTTTAGGTGGAGGAGATTTGATGCCGTACTTGGATGCCAAGTCAGTAGGTACCGGTGGGGGAGGAGGTTTAATAATGAACTTGGATGTTGAATTAGGGGACTTGATATCCGGTATAGGTGGTGGTGGAGATTTATTTGCTAATGTGATTGAAGAACTTTTTGCCGGCAATGGTGGAGATTTATTATTAAACATTGAATTATTTTCTGGTATTGGCGGAGGTAAAGGCTTCATAAAAGGCTTGGGGGCAGCTTCGGCCATAGTTTTAGGGACGAATCTAGAAACAACGGGTATGTGAGTTTTGCCGTTTACCATATTAATGTTGTTCTTGTTAGTTTCGTTTGATAGATAAGATTGCAGAAAACTGTTGTTCTTTACTGCTGGTCTATTTTCTATGAAATTTTCTGGTTCTTCGTTAATAGTCTTAAACCGACTAACCCCGTTCTGCTGACCGTTCATTATATGATTATTATTGTTCAGCGACTGCGACGAGGGTTTAGCATAACTAAGGCCAGGTGGCTTATAAGGTACAGAACCATTGTTTTGGCTAAATTTGTTTCTGAGGTTCTGCACACTCATCGTGACCAACAACACAGTTGAGATTTCTGTAAGAAATAAATCAAAAATGTACTGAAATTGTAGTAATACTAAATACGTTATTAAAACAGATTTTTTTTTTTTACAAAATTAATATACAAAAGAATAAAAACTTAAAATGCCATTTGAATATGTATAAAATATTTTTTTAATTTTAAATGATTTGTTATTATCAAAAGAAATTTTACTTTAAACTCTAAATATATTAATACTAAATTAATCATAGGCCAAAGTCCGTTTAATGAATTCCTATCATAATGAATATATTTTTGACAACTAATATTGAAATTTTCATAAAGCAATGCAAATATAATACTCGCTTAATTTTACAGTGCTGTATTATTGGCAAGTATTTTATTAGAGAAACAATTTAGAGAAATGTATAAATATAAAAATTATTTGTTAAAGTAAATATAACATTTTACTTTGTTTAATAAAATCACATACTGAACGAAAAAACTTTTAACCAATCAAATAACTAAGAGTTTTTAAGAAATACTTTTTAAGTAAGGCTTAGACGTATCGAAGAGCATGGGTTTAATGAAAGGGAAGGCTCCTGCTCTAAGTACACGAAAACCCCTCAACAGCGGATATCTAGACATTTTTCCTATTAAAATTTATGATGAAAGAAAAACTTTATGGGAATGAGCTTCCATGGTTGTTTACATTTAATACGTGAAAAACATTTTGGAGTATAACACAACCCATCTAACCTTTTTAGTAGTTTTCTAGAAACCGTTTTAAAATTGTTGAGAATAATATCTAAAACGCAGTGTATATTGTACTACAACAGTTTTCTTAACGAAAAACTTAATTCATACAAAACTCAATAAATTATACTTATTTAAATGCACATACATATAAACGTAAAATCCACGCGTTTGAAAAATGAATAGTGTACACAAGAGAGTCAGAAAATGTGAAGTATTCTCAAGTATCGCAAAATTTATCCTCAATTGTCCACTCGCCGACATACATACAACTCAGACATTGGCGAATACAAAGTGATCGTCGATTATAAAGAAAACGCAAGTATTATTTTATTTTATTTTTTTATCGTTACTTTATATTCCGTCGCCTGCCCACTCGCTGCGAGCACAACAATAACCTTCGTGATTGCCAACAGGTTTTCTTTGGTGAACAGAGCAGTAAAAAATTTACTTAAATAATAAAAAAATACACATAGAGGGTGGTGTGAAAGAACAATTATGCACTAATGCTGTCGGCCACAGTATAGTTTCACGTAAATATCATTATACAATGAACGAGGACACAAAACACCTGTGCCCAATAACAAAACAGTAAATCGGATAGAGCACGTCGCGAGTAGGCCAAATTTGTGGCAAAAATGTATCATTAATTATACCACATTTATTCTACAAATATATGAAAGGCAGTTGATCGTTTAGAAATGAAACTACTGGTCGGGTTATTATGTTTTTTTCATCGTGACGTCCGCACATATAAGGAATAAATGAAGTATACTTATGTAGTAATAATGTTATTACCTTGAGACTTTTAAGTTATAGTATAAATAATAACCATCCATACAGTTCGTTATATGCTATGTATTTTTCTTTCAGATGAAGGTGATATTAAACTGACAGCTGCTAATTTTTACAAGAATTATATCTATGAAAATGAGTAAAATTGTTTTTAACAAGTATTCAAGCTCTAATAATGAACGATGCGATATTCTGTATTTATAAAAAAATAAATGAGTATTTAACGCCACAAAAACGATTTTAATTGGCAAAATTCGTTATTGTAAATAATGACCGTGTGTGTCTTTATCAAGTTAAGAAGATATTATTCGACAATTACTTACAAGAAGAGAGTGTCGATCATGTTACTGGAATAAAGGACATTAGAATAGATACATTTTTAATTGTCACCTTAGATCGTTTGACAATGACAGATTTTTTTTACTTAATAGATTATGACATATTTAACCTTATTTGTTTAAGCAAATATAATAGACTTAATATGACAATTGATTTTTTATTGGTTACATTAAAATAAGATCCATTCACAAATTGCGCTCTTTAGTACTAAATTAAAATAATTAAGTTTTTAATTACAGTTGATTGTTGATTAGACAGTTATTGTTAAATCATCAAGCAATCAAAAATAAAAAAATAATCGGAACTATGTATCACCTTCCTTTGAAATAATAAATTTTCATTTCCTTTAAATTATTAATAGCCAATAATTAATGTACACACAGTTCATGGGCTAGAACCAAAGTTTGCACAGGAAATACATTAAATTTCACTACATAGTTTATTGACCCAAATATAATTGTTTACCATTAAACAAAGTTTGTAAGTGATATTGAAGTAAAGATCGGTACAATGACATATTATGATATGATTATAACTTAAATTTTACTGAATTAAAAATATATTAGACAAAAATTAAAATTTTTTAATTGTGTAAATATTAAAATATTTTTCATCTGGAAAAATACTCTCGGATGATAAATAAAATTTTAAACAGTAAAATGACCCGACTTAGCGACAGTCGCCATATATTTTATAAAGGCGTTGAATAACTTCATCAAAATTCTATTGTGGGCGCTGTCGTTTGAAGAATGATACGAAAAAAATAAGCAAACGACCTTGAATTTGCTTTAAAAAATATGTGATAAATATTTAAGCAAAACCGTATAACACCGACAATATGAAGAATACGTATCGGTCGCTTCTTTGAACTAAGTAAAAACTGTTAATAATTGAACATATATCACTACAGCTCTTTACTAATGAAAGCATAAAAATAGATAAATATAAATCCAAAATTGATAAAGCGCAACGGTGATAATAAATTAGAGGTTTAAATAAACTGTATACACACATTTTTAACTACAATATTAACGTGGGTGATAAAAAAACATGAGTCATTTAAATCAGTTGACATGATACAGGTAAAATATTTTTTATACTTATTATGTGTCCATAAAATACCTGAACATAATAGTGTTTGGTTTTACAATAAAGCCGAACTAGAATATTTAAAAATCTCTACATAACTTCTATTTAACATTACTAAATATACTTAACATTATGAAGAACTATTTATTTTCGTTAGATTCGGTTGTCGCTACAGTCTTATAGCGCCAACGGAATCATGAAGAAGTAAACACAGATGGTTTAAAACCTTTGAGTTTTCATTGCACTGTTAGTATGTTAGAACATAAATATAATATTTTACGCTAAGCCAACTACATCAAGTCAAATACGTTTTGATTGGTATTTTAGTGAAGGTAGTTGGCGCAAAAGACCGTAATGGCTAAGCAGTCATAGAGTACATTTATGTATCTTGTCATAACGAATAAAACTTCAACAGTCATAACCGAAAGGATTCAGCAAGGATTATTATAAAATGATTTTCTCTTTTGAAAACTTTTAACCTCAATATTAGTATAATTAAAAAAATATGATATCGATTACTTTTTAATTAGATTATTATTGCGGTCATTTAAACCAAGTCGATTATATTATATCGCTTATGTCATACCTCCATTTACGAGAAAGGAACTTTCAACATATTTTTTATGAGACTAAATACTTAGAATTTTTACCACACCATGCATGTGTTATGTTATTTGGTAATAACAGTAGTTAATTTTAGTTAGAATATTTAGTAAATTGATACCAGTAGAATTGAAACAACGAACAATAATCATTAAAAAAATAAATAACAGAAATCGTTAGTCTCAACACGTAAAACCGATACAAATCGTGATGACAACAAGTTACATTGGTTGAAGTTGGTAAAAGTTTTACTTAACGGTAGCTTATAATTATTAATCGGCACATTCCACAAAAAAAAAAAAAATGAGCGTTAGTGTTCAGTTAAATGATAACTATTTACTCAAACGCTCAACGGCTAGATAATCAAAAACCTTAATACTAAAACGCATTTTTTAAAGTGACTCAGAACGAAGCGATTTCGTTTACGTTAACAGAACACCACTAGTATTATTTATTACGATTCGATTTAGCACAACACGTGTATTTATATTCGTAAACGATTGAACGTGTTGTTCTTTAACTGATATGCCTGTTTACCCAGTAAAGGTTTTCACAGGTTATAATATTTGTTAAGAGTTATTTACTAAGATATATATTATTTAAAGACCACTTAAATCGATAAATGTTTCGATTTAAAAACGATTAAGAAGTATGGAGCGCCTATGAATGTCATAAAATGGCACTATCAAATTAAAGAAGAAAAAAAATATCATAATAAAATTAATATGTTCTTAGCTTTGTACTGAAAATTCTTAGAAAATAATATTATTATTTTAAAAACTTATTACAATACAAAATGTATTTTTTCAAACATTCAAATATTTATAAATAAATTTAAACAAAATTCTATAAAATAGAGAAGATTTACCCACACAATTCACGCTTATTTTGGTAAAACTTGTGTTTTAAAAACAAAACAAATTAATAATAAAAAATTTAATAATACATTTTTTGGTTGATTTTTAGTTTTTTTTTTTTATTAAAATTGTTCAATTATTTATACTAGAAAATAAGATACACAACAGTACAGAAAATTAGTTAATACATAAACTTCTAATAAGCGACTGAATACTATTTTTAATTATAATAAAAAAATATATTATTAAACATTTCACTACGGAGCACATGTACCCGTAAAATATACTTATTTCGCAATTCTTTCTATTACAAAATAATAAATATTGTTAAACATCTGTTACACACAAAGAAGTTGGGTACAGGTTTAGATTGTATATTGAGGACCTTATTATTAGCATATTAAGTGAATAATTCTGTACATTAGCATTATCATAATGTATATGAAAATAAAGTATTTTAAAATCATGAGAACGTGTAATAAAATTATGTAAATTGTTGTATACCTACAATGTGTTTATAATGATTTAACAAGTAAACATTTTTGTATAGTTTTAATGTTTTGAGATGGCGATTGGCAATAAATAGTTTAGTCTATTTATTTGCGGCTTTGATAC